AATAATCTATTAAATTACTTTTAGACTAAGGCTATAAATACTATTAATTATATCTAAAATTAACTATTAATAAAAAGAATTAAGACAACTTTTAAGTAAACTTAAACTAACTAGATACTTTATCTTAATTATTTACAAATATTTACAGTATTATTTATACTTATATCTTTAAAGAAAAGTAACAGAAGTCTGATATTAAAAGGACCTAGACTAGCATTCTAATAAGGTATATACTAACTATAAAGCAAATCTATATATAAAGTCTTATATAGCAAAACGCTTATATTATCTTAGTATACTTTATTAATAAAAGATATAAGGGAGCTGATCTCCTAATATAGCATCTTTTATCTTCTTTTATAAATACTCTATAGAGAATATATATAAAGAGGGCATAATTAGATGCTCTTAAAAAGAGAGATAGGCCTTAAAAGCAAACTAATAATACTATAAATCTACTTAATTTTATACCCCCTTTAAGAGGAGAATTAATTAAATAAGACTAAGACATATCTAAGAGAATTAGACTAAGTAAGTTAAGTATATAGTTAGTAAGAGAACTGTCTGTTATAAAGCGATATAAGATAAGTAAGTAATAACTATAATAGCTTTTTAACTAGGTAAATAAGTCAGGCATAAAGATTATAAAAGATCTTATTATAAGTTAGAGGACCCTTATAAAGGTTATAAAAGATCCTACTATATTAAGACGGTTTGCCCTTATAATAAATGTAATAAAAGGTACTTAAAGCTTATAACACTAAGACTACTAGTGTTATAAGAGTTATCTTAGCATTAAAAGAAGTATATTTGAGTAAGAAGAGTCCTAATATACTTACAGACAAAGAGAGAGCACAGCTAGGCTATAATAAATTAATATAGTTAGGTAAGTATCCTAGTATACTTGTAAGGGCTACAGAGACAGAGCAGCCTAGTTACTCTAAAGACCTAGATAAGGTAGCTAGAAAGACTATTAATATAGTAGATGTTAGTAAGTACCCTAGCGTAAGAAAGAGTTTATTATTAGTATATAGAAATAAGGGCTACTTAGGGCTAGATGAGCTAAGAACTTATATATAAGTAGTAACAGACCCTATATATAGTAGGTAATAAAGAGATGTGATTAATAAAAAACTACAGAATCTAAGCACTTATTAAGCCTAGAGAATTAAGAGGCTTTTAGAAGGCTGAAAGTTAGTAGGGTATAAATAGATATTTAAGATCAAGAGAGATAAGAATAACTAGTCAGCAAGATATAAGGCATAGCTTATAGTATAAAGCTTCTTACAAATTTATAGGATTAATTATAAGAAGATGTTTGCTTTTACTATTAAAAGAGAGTCCCTTAGAATATTTCTTACTATTATTATAATAAAAAATATAAAACTATACTAGATAGATATAGTTGCTATTTATCTAGCTAGCAAGTTAGAAGAAGAAGACAAACAGATATTTATACAGATCCCTAAAGAAGTACTACTTAAGGAAGGGCTAAATAAAGACTAATAAGTATACAGAATTATTAAGAGCCTGTACAGACTTAAGTAATCTGTAAAGAAGTAGAGAGAGAAGCTTATAAGCGTCTTAAGAACTAATAGATATAATATACTAAATAAGGATCTAAGTATATTAATATCTAATAATAGAAGAACAATTATTAGTATATACGTAGATAACCTACTACTAATAATAGAGGATCTAAAAGCCATTTACTAAATCAAAGCCCTTCTTTAGCAGAACTTTAATATAAAAAATTTAGGAGAAGTAAGAATAATTATAGAGATAAGGATTAGAAAAGATAGAGTTTGCTAACAGCTATAAATTAACTAGACTATCTATCTAAGAGAGATTCTTGCTATAGAGGGCATAACAGATTATAATGTTGTGGTTATACTAATAAAGTCTAGCATATTTATAGCCTTAGACAAAGAAGAAGATATAAAAGAGACTAATATTCAGGCGGATTAGATACTGATTAGAAGGTTACTATATCTAGTATATAGTATAAGGCTAAATATTAGTTTCTGTATTAGCTATTTAAGTCAGTAATACGCAGATTTATATATAGGGCACCTTAAGGCTATAAGAAAAGTCCTATAATATCTTAAAAAAACAATAAAGATAGACCTTAAGTTCAGAATTAACTATATAATATAGAATACTTCTTAAAGAGAGCTATAACTATATAGATATATAAATGCTAGCTTTATAAGAGATCTAGATAATAAAAAATTAATAATAGGTTATTTATTTCTATTAGATAACACGGCTATCTCCTAGACGTCTAAAAGGTAGAGAACAATGTTAACATCTAGCATAGAGGTTAAGTACTTAGCTATAGAAGCAGCTATAAGACAAGCTATATAGATTTAACACCTTTTGAACAAATTTAGAGTAAAGTAAGTAATAGTAATGCTTTATAAAAATAATAAAGGCTGCTTAAAGCTGATATAAAACCCTAAGTAATATAATTAAATAAAGCATATTAATATCTAGTATTACTATATATGCTAATTAGAAGAAGAAGGAGAAATTCAGACTTTTTAAGTATTAATAAAGGATATACTTGCTAATAGACTTACTAAGGCACTCTTTAGAGACGTCTTTATATAATTTCGTACTAAGATAGGCCTTATTTAAATCAAAGAATACTGATATAATATTATTAGAGAGCGCTATTAGTGCACAAGGATTTCTATACTATAGTACAAGAAACCTAGTCACATGAATTTAGCTATATAGTATAGCCAAATCCTAGATTTGCAATTATATAATTACGCAAGCTATTTAGACGCTATTTCTAAGGCTATAGCATTTACAGGCCTTAATAAAGCGTCTTAAACAACCTTAGAGCATATAATGCTATAAAGAAGACTATAGGTAGAAGCATAGACTAATATTATAAGCAAATAATTAGATAGGTATAACCCTCTTTCTAAGCTACTAACTTAGGACAATTAAGTATAGTTTAAGCAAAGAAGAAAAGCTGTATAAGTCAATTACTTATAATAGCGTATATAACTATTTATAGTAAATATAGCTTAAATAGCAAAGAGAGTATTAAATTACTATTAAGCCGCTAGCCTAGTAGTTGTTATATAATCTAGGGCTATACTAGAATAGGCATAACACTATTAGCTACTAGAGTAAGATTATACTTAAACTTTAGACAGGAATTAGATATAACTTTTGCGCAAGTTACTAGATTAACTAATTAATTAAGTGCAGACATCTATAAATAGTAAAAGTAGTTTTAGCATTACTTTTAATATTAAGTAGTTTTTAAGTTTCTTTTTAATTTTCTTTACTAATTTATTCTTTTAATATATTTTAATTAGTTATCTCTTTTAATCTTAATTAAAAATTATAAAAAGCTCGCTGATCGCCGTGGCCAGCTGTTTAGAGACGGAGGGACTAACGACTATTCGAAAATAGTCGCAACGACAAGAGGCGCCAAGGCAGCAGCAGGATGGCTACAACGCACAGGACTCCTCCCACAATTCAACCTCGGCCTCAACTAACACTAACAGCCAGGGCCACACAGCCAACCTCCCGGAAAGGATAGGAAGGTGGGATGTCTCTTCGTAACCCTGTGTAACAGGACACGACTACCCGGTACAACGCGAACAACAGAAACGGATGGCTTATAGGTTTTCTTCCCCGGAGGGTTTCTCCTATAGATTGTTATTAGTACCTTCCCTCATGAGCTTAATGGCTCAATAGGTGTAAGAATAATAATAATAATAATAATAAAAATAATAAAAATAATTATAAATATTAAATTATTATATTTTATTAATTTATCTAGATTTAATTATAATATTAATTTATTATATTTTATTAATTTATCTAGATTTAATTATAATATTAATCTAGATAATATTTTAGTATCCTTTATATATTAATAATGCCCTAAGAAAGAATATCCTAGACTGATTCGTCTCAGCATATCTTGACGACATCTTAATCTTTAGCAACTTGCTAAAAGAGCACTGCTAATACATAAAGACAGTACTAAGCAGATTAGCTGTTACTGAACTATAACTTGATATAAGAAAATGCGAATTCGAAGTTCACGAGACGAAATACTATTATTTACTTTTTTAAATGTGCCAGGAGTACCAGTTGGATCCTTGTGTTAGGAGTATCGGGTTGGACCCTTGTGCCAGAACGAGACTTAATTACTGGTTATATTTAATTCATTTCAGCGCTACTGCGGTTCGGTCGTATTTTGCCTCCTTCTCCAGGGATACTGGTTAGTTTCAAGCTCCTTTCGGCGGTACGGCGGATCAGCCGGGTGCCTGGCCACGTTCTTCTGCAGGCCCCATGGCTCCATGGGTCACTTGGTGTCGTTCTTACCGCCGATTATGATGACATAAGAGTTGGATGAAATGGCCAATTTGGCCGCGGCCTGATTACCATTATCCTTGTAAGAAATATTGTGCCAAGATCGAGACCAGCTGTTACCACGAGGCCTGGATTTAGGTCGAAGGATTTCCCTCGGAGGGCGTGATTGGGCTGGAACTTGATCCTTTGGAGACTGTGAGGTGCTGAAAGTTGATTGATGTGTATTTATAAAATGGTTGGCCGTACTATGTAGCTTCATTTGGCCGAAGGATCACGAACCAGGACCTTACAAGATTGAACGGAGAAGTGCATGTTACTTGGGGGCGTCTCAACGAAAGCCGTCCGCTTGGCGAGTTTATATGACATACTATCAGCCAACTAAGCCGGACTCCTTCAATTTGCAATGTACTTTGCAAACTTACCGGTATGAAGAGGTACGGCACCCGCCTCTCATACTCCCTCCAAGCATCACCATATTTCTTCCTGCATCTCGTGATGTCCCTCATGGCACGATAACCGAACATGACGCAGAAAAACACAGGATAGAACCAGGGGAAGAGGCTGTTGAAACCGGTTATCAGTCCCCACGGAAGGGCGAAATACACCATCGCAACTGTAGTGAATCTTGAGCGCAAACCCATACCATTCATCAGTTAGGATTCGATCACCAGTCTCCGTATCAATGGCCTCAGGTTGATAACTTCTTGCCAAGGAAGTTGCGGGAACGTCTTGCGCTTCATGAAGGTGCCACGCTCCATCATTCGGAACGAGTTCTTCTGACCATTAGCAGTGTCCCAGACCCAATAGACGAAGAGGTAGGCCATGAAGATCACACTGAGTGCGTAATCATTCCATACATACGTGGACGGGTCGTGGTTAGCGAGATACAGCGTGCAATGGCAGTACGACATTGGGACGCCGGCCATGTTCCAGAAGATCAACAAGAAACCTAACTTTTCTTGGTACATGTCCCAGGTTGTAACGATGAGGTGCTCACCCTTAGCACAGGCATTTGCGTAGATGAAGTGGGCCATGACAAGGAACAGAACTTCGCTAGAGACATAGCCGTACTGCTCATACTGACATGCGGCGGCCGCGCAGCTCAAGCCGAAGAGGATGAACCACGGGATACGGATTTCGTAGAACATTTGGAAGTCCAGGATGCCGAACAGGCGCGGGTTAAGCTCGGCACCCATGAAGAAATCATAAATAGGATAGCCAGTTATACGGTGCTGAGCGCCGCGGGCAAAAGCGCAGAAGTATGCGTAGAAACTGGCAAGGAAGCCGGAAATTATGGCCACAGACATGAGTGGACCAAACTCGTCCAGGAAGGTGTTGACGGGAAACTGTCCGGTGCCATGCAGAATAGCCATGATGAAGATTGTGAAGTAGAACCTGGTATAGGCCGAACAGTAATACCTAAGTTTTTTACAGCGCTCGTGAGGCAAAGGCTTGCCGCAACACGTGAAGCCAGGCCTGTACAGGTAGCACGCAGCCTCGAAGACGTAGTATACCCAATAGATGCGCCAAGCCCTGAGTTGAGGAAAGGCGCCGGTGTAGGCAAGATGCAGCATATGCTTTCCGAAACCCGCCCAAGATTGGGCTTCCAGTGGGAGAGGCAATTTTCCATCATAATAGGTGGCGCCAATCCACATATAGTACATCAGCAGAGGGAGCCGGTCATAAGAGCTAGGGTACCAAGTGAGCCGCCAAACTCGAAGTGTCCAGAGTAGTCGACCTTGGGGTCCATGCCTGGTCGCCAGCCACCAGCTATGTGCTCCCTTGCCAAGTCACTGAGGTGTCCATCAGTAGCTTTGGACTTGGACTTGGCTGTGTTCTCGCCGTGCAACACTGCCGAAAGCTTCTCTTCTGCCACACAGCTGAACGTCTCGGCCTTCTCGTCCATGTTCGCAACGAGCTTGCCGTTGCCTCGACCTCGCAGGGGTCTGGTCTTTGTTGTCGTGGTCTCGGTGGCCGAGCTTGAGCCGCTGTCATCAGACACCACACCATTGATGGCAGCAAACTGAGATTGGCGTCGTGATGAATGGGATCTGGCATTTGAACCATACCGTTCAAAAACCCCTTTTTTTCTGTATGGAAAATGCGTGTATGTCAGCCGAAGGTCTCAGTCTTGTATAACATAGGCACTGTATATCATGGCGGTGCAAATCAAATAGTGCAAGGTATAGTAAATGCAGTCAACTGATATTAGATCAAAGCTAAAGAAGAAATGAAGGCAAGTAATATGAGACTGGTGGCTTCGTGTAAAGACTGAAGAATATTTTACGTGTCTTACGCACGGGCCACCTACCAGCCGCTCCAAGCCCCCTCGGGCCACTGCATAGACTAAGTTAGTAGTTAAAGTGCAGCCGTAATATCATGGCGAGCCTGTCGAGCTTGGTCAAGGCGTTCATGCCGGGCCGGACTGAAGCTTGGCGCCAAAATTTATGGCAGTTAAAGGATTCTGCATTTCTATCTACCCCCCTCTAATAGGGTATGGCCTTCCCAAAACGCTCTTGCAAACAAGTTACTCTATCTGGCATGGTAGAGATGGCATTATTGATCTCCTCAATAGTGATTTTATCCCATTCCTCTTGGATAGCAGCCTTCAGCGCCTCAGTTTGGAAGATGACCCCCCTGGACTTCAAACGCTGCTTTATTATCCTCCAAATGGTCTTAATGGGATTGAGATCTGGCGAATTGGAAGGCTGAGCTTGCCATTTGATGTTAAGCTTGATTTTTGCTTGCTTAACCTTGTTATTGGCAACACCCTTTGTGCCATGTGGTCCATCATTATCTTCAATCAGAATAAGATTTTCGTCCCATTCTGGAGCAACAACCTCCTCCAACATCTTGACATAATCAGCTTGGATAAGTCGCCCGCCTTTCCCTGTGCCTGTGTAGAAGTGGAGGGTGCCCTTGAAGTTCTAGCTGATGGTTGCATAGATATGGATGGTCTGATTTTTGCGCTTGAGTTTGTATTGGGTTTTTGAAAGCTTTTCTCGATTTTCCTGGCCACGGCGACGATGAACTAGGGCCTGCTGTTGAAGGCTAGTAGCAAAATAAGACTTAGCACACCACTGATACTTTTTAAAGTCTTCTAGGTTGTGATAGCGGTGCTCAAATGCCCAAAGATTGCGTGCTTCAATTGAGTGTGCTGGTAGCCATTTCTTCTACAATGCGCGGTATATTCCCACATCAGAATTGGCTATATTTCTTTGAATTGCACGTTCAGAGCCTTTAGCTAGGCTAATAGTCTGTGCCACCTTGAAGTGGCTTGACGATGCAAAGCCAAAATTTGCATCTTCAACTGCCTTAATTGCTTCGCACTGATGGGGAGCAAGAACTGGTTTTCGGCCGCGATTATGCACCCTCTCGCTGCGGCGCACAGTTCCTTCTTTAATGACTCGATAGCCAGTTCGATTGGCTACATCATGTATCTTAAATAGCTGCGTACGAGATAATTTGCCAGCTGTAAGACGTGCGTCAGCAAGGAGGCGCGCACGGCGCGGTGTATCAAGCATCGTTTGGGGGGCCCTGGGAGCCTGAGGAGAGGGAGGATTCGAACAAACGCCATCTGCAGGGGCACGGCGGCGACGGGGGAGCTCTCTAGCCATTTTGGAGTTGATTCTGACTTGCGGTGGTGGAATAGTAAGTAGTAGAAGGCAGGGGGTGTAGAGGAGGAGGATCCTTAACTGCCATAAATTTTGGCGCCAAGCTTCGGACCGCAACCTCGACTAGCACTAGCACTGAGACTTGCATTTCCCCCTTGTGCTATGAACTGAGATAATTGAGGAATAGTAACAGCCGGGTTCATATTTCGCGATTTCTCGAACACTCAGTCCAAAAAGCTAGCGTAGAGCCAACTGCCAGCTTGAAAAACTGGCTGGCGCCGCGCTCGTTGCAGAGAGATCTGATGATGCTGACGATCAAATACTGACGAGACTTACAGAGGTGTTTCGCGTAAAGAATATCTGCCCGATATGGCTGAATGATCTGGCTCAGGTGGACATCGTTGTCCGTATATTATAGGGAGGATCTCAAGCGTGCACTCGACAACTGGTGTAACCGTAAGAGTTCTGCCAGCTAACACAGGCTCTTTTCCGTTTAGCAGATCCTTGATCCCCTTCAGCCGCGAACTATTGGTGGAAAATCACCTTGACTTCTCATCACAACAAAATCCCTGGTATCCCAGTCAGATCAGCGATACCAAGCTGTCGTGGGACAGAGTTCACGCTGCACTGACACTACCCCAACCGCCACCCTTACCACCACACCCTATCGATACTGGCGCACTTAATCGCTATTATGTTGAACCTTGTTCTTGGGCCAGAGTGGTGCAGTTTGGATCAACTCCTCATGCGTTAGCCTTGACGGCATCGCAATGCTTTCTTCGTGACCACAGGTGGGGGACTGGGAAGCCATGATACGCTACAAATGTTATGTTGCAGCGAAATCAGCCATCTAAGTTAGGATGTTCTGATATGAACGCATAGACGGTCGAGCAAACGAAGCATCCCCAACTTACCTATGCTCTTTTACATTCCGTTTATGTTTTTCGTCCCTAGCGGGCAGGTTTGGAGCTCAAGAAAGGGCGGCAACGGAGGAGCAGTAGGAGTAGGAGGCAAATTGTACCCACTCTTCCTCCTAATGTGACCCAAGTCTGCCTACTAGGTCGTTCGTTCAAGCCATCATGACAAATTTAAATGGACCTTTGTCTCATCAATAACTGCACATAATTTATCCAAGCACGCAGTTGGCACATCATTGGGACTCTTCACTATTCATTCACAGCGGTCACGGGCGCAAAACAGCATGGGGAAAAAGGTATGACGAAAAGAGCAGAGACATACTGCTCTTCCCGAATTGTAAATGCTCAAGTTATTCTTAAGATACAAAGAGGGCTTATCAGTCAAAGACCCACGTTAGCCGGTATAGAAAGGGGTCCATCACCAACCTCACAAAAGCCTGAGCAGTGCAACAAAAGATAGCAATAACAGCCTACCAAAGGTGAACGAGTGCTCATCACCACACTCCCATGTCCCAGATTTCCTGGGCAATGCCTACGGATAAGTGTTTACGCCCACCCGTGCACAATGTTATGTCGTTTTCACAAATCAATCAAACTCCCACCCTGCTGCTGGCCCGGCCTCGCACCAAAAGGATTGCTGCTTTGCTGGCCAAATGCTCCTGCAAAACCACCCGCAGGTCCCGTCTGTGCCGGCACCTGCTGCTGGTGGAATCCCGTCTGCGATGGGCCCGCCCCGGTAAATTGCTGCTGGAAAAACGGATTATTTCCCGTTTGGGCAGCGCGTAGTCGGTCCATGCCGCCGCCCGCCGAGTTGACGAATGTGCCCGGGGCCGTGTGCTGTGCTGGTATGCGGAGGTCTCCGACATTTCCAAATGTGTCTTGTCCTTCTCCAGATGCAAGTAATGCATTGAGGCGGGCACGTTGTGGATCCATTGGCTTCTGGTTCGTCGCTGTTTGTTGTGGTGATTGATGTTGAGGTTGAGGAGGTTGGAAATTGGCGATTGGATTTGGCTGGATTGGTTGACTGTATTGTGTTGCTGTTTGTTGCTCATATAGTGTGTTTAGAGCAGGCGGGCTTGTCTTCTGCTGGACGGGCTGAGGCCGCTGAGCGAAAGGATTGTTAGAACCAGTTGGCATCGGCTTGAGACTGTCAGCCTGCTGTTGATTGTTCGTCGCCCATGGATTGTGACTACCCGCTTGGGGGAAGGATTGCTGCGGGGTCTGCTGGCCGAAGACGTCACCTGTCTGTTGCTGTTGTTGCTGACCATACGGGTTGTTGCTAAACGCTGTCTGCTGAGGCTGCATAGTCGGCTGTTGTTGCAGGAAACTAGGCTGCTGCTGCTGCTGCTGCTGAAATTGATCGAACCCCGTTGGTTGTTGCCCAAAGCCGTTGGTGTATCCGTTTTGATAGCCTGTCTGCTGTGGTTGTTGGGAGTACTGATTGTTCAAGAACCCTGTGCTCAATGGTTGCTGGATAGGATTTCCAAACCAATCTACAGCACCCTGTTGTTGATATCCTTGATTCCAGCCAGTGGGTTGAGGTTGTGCTGGGGCAGGCGTATCGTCAAACAAGGAGGCTGCATTCTGATCTTCCAATTCCCGCCTTCTCAGCTCTTCCTCTTCCTTGCTAAGCTTAATAGCCTTTGCTAGGTCATCATCGTCATCTGCGCTCTTGTTCTTGTCTCTTCGCTTTTTCTCCTCCTCGGCCTCATGTTTGCTTGCCTCAATTGCCAGGCGATACTCGGCATCCTCCTCGTCTGTCCTTGGATTTTTGCGCCTATTATTCTGTTGGCGGTCAACTGGCGGCCCTGCAATTGCTGATGGTCCGTATTCGTCTATGCCGCTAACGCGAGACTTCCAAAGCTTGCGGTCTGAGCGTTCGCTTCGAAGCCGATCTTCGTCTAGGATAAGGGAAGTGAGCTCTTTCGCAGAAACACGAACTATGCTAGGGGTTAGCTAAGTACGCCTGAAAATCGTGCGCACCAGTCCGCTTGCTCACCATTTTGTCCGACATCTCTACCCTCTTCGTCAACATATTGGAATTCGCGCAACGTCTTGATGATGTAGACATTCTTGCGTGCCCAGGTGACAACAAGCTCCGACCCTTCGTGTAGACAGTAGTCCAGCACCTTCAAGGACTTCAGGACATGGCGCCAGTTCTTTCCTTTGTCATTCAATCGCTTGTCGAGCATATCCATAATCTCGTAGAAATCGCTCGGACTTTCGGAGCATTGAATCAGTACGACCGATGCGTAACATGAGCGACATAGGACCGAACTCACTTGTTGAAGGTCAGAGCGGCGATCTCGCTCATATCGGTGCCGGTGGGACCCCATGGGTCATTGCTCGTTGCTGCCGCAGTCGTCAGCCTCCGACTTTGATGGAACGAAGAGCTCGAATATGCACGAACCATTGCGAACCTTCACTTGCACGGCCGAGTACCCCTTGGTTACATTTTTTACACTCCTCACGACTTTCGACATAGTGCCGCGGTGGCCGAGAGGTGTCTACGATGGATGTAACTCTCTGGCGATAACCGCTGGGTTGCGACGAATCAGCAAGGTCGGTGCGGACAGCAGGCGCGACTGATGCAGTGGCGCCTTCACTCAAGCCAGCGATGGTATGACGACGAGGAGAGGGTGAGATTGAATTGCGTTTGGTCGTTCGGTGAAGAGGTGGTGTGGCCCAGTATATAGCTCCTGATATGCAATGGCAGTCAATGCGAGGGCTGACGGCTGAAGTCCTGCGCGGGATGCTCGCTAATCGAAAGTTCTGTAGAGCAATTCTGTATTGATGCTAGAGTGCAACAGGTGTGCAACAGGTGTGCAGGAGTATGGACAATTATGGCAGACCACTTCTTAGATGCCTCTGTTCAAAATCTCTCAGAGATGACGAAAACCATGCACTGCGATAGGCCGGCAGCAAGGTTGAACCTTCGGACCCCAGCTCGTAAATCGACGTCGCATTCGGGGGGCTTAGGACTTGGCTAACGGTCATGCTAACTTGAAGTACGTAGCGCTAAGTAGTAAATTATAGCATTAACTACTAAGTTAGTACTAACTAGTAGCGCTCAGTCATGGCATTTTGCCTTTTGATTTACTTCCTACACCACAGGGTTATCAGCTTCGAATTACTAGTAGAAGAGCATGCTAAAACATCATTACCATGGTTCACTTTACCACTTCTCTACTCCAATCATCACGCTGCAAGATCCACATGCGCTTTCTCTTCTGAGCCGGCCCTGAAGTGGTTGACGTTCTCCTCTGTTCCACCAGCATCCACTGCGCCATTGAGTCCGTCGGCTTCTTGCATGGCAAGATATCTCTCTTCGGCGGATGAGATGCATTAAATGTTTGCTCCAAGCTGTCCAATGTCTCTTGCCACTCATCCTCCTCAACGCTGTCAGACGATTCCGCCACCAGCCTGCAAAGCAACCCTGTCCTTAACAACCATCCTGAGGGCAATGCACGTACCCATAGCCCCTTCATCCTCCTTTGCCCCGTCTAGCGAAACTCTTGAGAAACCATACCCAATAGCTCCTGCACACCCACTTCTCTACCTCAAGCTCAGCAATGAGCTCCATGGCTTTGACTTTCGGAGCGCCCAACAGTGCCGGTGGGAAATATAGATCGAAATGCGTCCCAGCGGGTCTGACCTTCTCGGGGGACGCCGGAGACCTGCGAGACAAGATGTTGAACGTAGCTGAACCTCTCAACAACCATCAATCTGTCGACACGAGTAGATAACGGATCGCATACCCTGTTGACGTCATTCCTGGCCAGATCAACCAGCATGACATGCTCGGCGCGATCCTTGACCGAGTTGCGTAATTCATCTGCCAGCTTTTCATCGTGCTCGGGGTCGAGTCGTCTTTTTACCGTTCCTGCTATCATGTGTGATTATGTGACCAGCTTATTCCTTAACGAGGAGCTCGGGAGATGCACCGATGATGCTGAAGTCGGCACAATCAATGTAAAAGAGATAGGGGCTTGGATTTACGGTACGGAGGTGTCGATAGATATTAAATGGATGCAAGGTTGTTGGATGTGCTATTCGGTGTGAAGGATCAGCCTGGATGATGTCCCCTTTGGTAATATGCTTCTTTAACCGCATCATATGTGCCGAGTAGCCAGACTGGCCAATGTTTGAGGTCAACTGTTGATTCTGTCTGATGGCCGGCTGATGCGGGAGGGGCGTGTGACGGTCGGAAATGGTCAATATAACTTTTTGAATAGACTCTGATGCCAACCGATAAGCCAGCGCCAATGAAGAAGATGTGAATTCCTCAGGCACCCTCAGATACGTGATAATCTTGTAGACGTTGAAGAAATGGTCAAATGCAACGATGGTGTCGAACAACATGAACAGGCTCTCCGGCAAACCTAGCACATCTCGCATCGGCCGGGGAGTCTTGGGCTCGAAGTATCTCACGCAATCATATCCGACATAGCCTATCACGCCGCCGGTCAGAGGAGGGAGGGCTAAGCCTGGAACAGTTACAACGCGAAAGCCTGATAATTCCTTCTGGAGCAGATGAAGTGGATCTTCTGAGGGTCGATGAGCAGGACCGGTTTTGAGTACTTTCAAAGGATCGGCTCCCACCAAACTATACCGACCAATAGTGCCTGTAGTAGCTACGGACTCGTACAGGAAGGATAGCTTTGATTCTGCTGAGATCTTTAGATATGCTGGGGTTGGTGTCAAAAGGTCGGCTGGGATAGTAGCACAGAGAGGAACCAGATTTGGCGGATGAGTGGAAGATCTCGATTTAGACAATACCTCTTCAACATTTTCTACGGTTGGCTGGATGGATATCTGGTTTGAGTCTGCCAGTTTGGATGTTGCGCGTTGTGAGGGGACTTGATTGCCTTTGGAGCCATATTCTCGAACGAGCACCTCTGGCGAATGCTTTTACATTCTGCTGCGAAGGGGTGGAAGAATTCATTGTGTGCGCGAAGCATTTATTGGCCGCGTCAGCTAAATATCGGATCCGAATGAATGCTCGCACCCCTGTGGCTGGGATAACTCAATGGCATGTGCTTCAAGCAGCGAGTGATGACTCGGAAATAGTTCAAGGCTGCTTAGTAATCCACATGGGATATACCCTATTCGGGTATCATGCTATTTGTGGTTGGCACATCCTACCTGGGAACAGGACATTAAGAGCACCTCATCATGAATAAGACCGTGGCATGACTGATCTCTCTTAATGGGTTGTACGTGAGATCAAGATGTAATATAACGCTGGAGCACCAAGAAGGCCCAGATTCCAAGGACGCTCTATGCAACAATGACCCTCCCCCTGCACAGACAGATACGACATGTTTTAGACCGCTCAGCACCAAGTAAAAACAGGATTGCTGCTCTTGACGGTTTCCAATCGCTCGACAATAACTTTCTTTTCGTTCCCTTCCATGCCTTCCGCTGCCGCGTATCCCAGATCGCCTTCCAAATCATCTCGATCATACAAGAACGGACTGCTCGCCCTTCTACGGTTGAGGTTGGGATTTCTTCCACTGTTGGTGCGACTGAAAGACCGGAAGTAGTCCAGACTCGATCGCGTCCTCGATCTTGGATGGTTTGCCGGCCGTGAGGGTAATGTGAGACTATTTGATAGATCTTGTCTTGTCCGGTCTCCCATGTCTTGGCGGAGCTGGCTCAGATCACCGATCGTTGCAGGGCTGCTCGGCTCTTCATGGATGCGCCCTAGATCCGCAGAAGACTGATCCCGGAACAGTTCAAAGCGGTTGGGGTTGGGCAAGTCAGTAGTGGGAGATCCCATACCCAAAAGATCGTGTGCTGGAGCCGGTGCCGAAGCATAGGCCGCGCCAATGTCCATTTCCTCCTCCTGCCTTGTTTCGACATCTCGACGGCGTTTCATTTCTGCACTCGGAACGCGCAATGGAATAGCGACAGGGATGTCTACAAGATCGTCCCAGACACAGACTCTGGTCCTTCGTGTAAGCTCTAGCGGTCCGTGATCGGCTTGCTTTAGCGTTTCGACGACATTCCAAGCTTGACCTTTCATCACAGCGATCTGACGCGCAAACATGCCCTCTTTGAAATCAGAGTCTTGACTAAAGACTCTTCTAAGGGCCAGTTGCGTTTCGCTCCACCAAACAGTGGATGTCAGGAGAGGTAGGAAATGATCTCGAGTCTTCCTCGAAAAGGGCTGACCGATGAGGGAGACAGGTAAGAATAACCATCCAAAAGGGAAAGATCGCCACTACGCCAATGTCAGTAACCACAATCCAGTCCAGGTGCCAAACTCTCACTTACAGCATCAGGGTGTTTCCAAGGCCATGATAAACTATTGTCAATAGCGCCTATGGAAACGGATGGAGGCTTGGTGTCACTGGCATTCGGAGGCGTACCCGTCCTGCTCACGGCGGCCATGGCTTCTTGTCTTCGGTATGGTGCAGCTTCCTTTGAGGTAGGTTGAGCAGGATGGTCAAGTCCTTCAGTGGATTCCTCAAGTTTGGGTGGCTCAGAGACAACGGAAACTTTCTCTGTATGCCAATCAATTTTGATCATCCAATTGTCTAGGCCTCGATCTGTGTTTCGCATGATGTAATCCAATATCACCAACTTTTCGAGTTCTTCGCGGAAAGACTGCTTTATGTTATCAGTCCAACGAAATTGCTTGTTTTGGGGGTCGTCCTGCTCTGGAGGAGACATGGCGTGGCCATCCTCGTCGTCGTCGTCGGACTGAGAACCGGATATTCTACAATCCAACCATCGTCTTTTCTTATGTCGCGGAGCATCTTCAGCACGAAAATTCGTGTTGTTCTGGTCTGGCCAGGGATGCTCTCGCAGGAAGATATTGGCGTCTTTGTAGCCCTTGAGAAATACTTGGAAACTACCTTGCTTTGCAGGTAGCTTCTTCTTGCCTCGCCAATAACTGCGACGATCCCAAAAGTCGTAAAAGAACGATTTCGAAGAAAGCCAGACGATATCGGTGTAGGGTACGAGGTTCGTTCTTAGCCGATTGTCAAGCACGTAGGCTGCTGCCTCGGAAACATAGGACAAGTTGGGAATCAGACATGCTCGTCCGAAAAAGAAGGGAAAAAGGTTGCGATGGAACCATTTGGTCCACTTGGGATTCCGCGAGGCATACGGTTCCTCGTCCTTAGGCTTAAAGACGCCAACAACCTTGCCATCACTGCTGCGCGCAAAGTAGCTGCCTGAACTGCCCTGGGCTATCATCTTGGGGTGAACGCCGATTTCGATCGCGACTCTGACGCTCTCCACAATATCATCAAATTGGGCCTTGGTCATGCATTTATCACTCTCAGGTTCGGGTTCGGAGACAAGGTCCTCCGAGGTCAAAGGCCTGATCCAGTCGGGAGGTTGGAAGACGGAATGATAGATTTCGAGTTTCTCTTCTTGTGGCGACTTGCCTTTAACCTTGTTGATCTTGAACTTCGATGCAATCTCTTCAGCCCATCTCTCCAATCGCGCGTTGATAGCCTTGATGTCGACGCCTGAATTGCTGCGTGTTCTTTTCGAAGGACGCTTTCGGTGGCCGTCCGGGGAGCCATTCCCAGGCGCTCTCATCGACTGGTGGGAGGAAGGTTGAATAGGGGCATATCGTGTACCGGGGGAAGAGAGGGTCAATGGGTGCTGAAAAGCGTCTTCATCTTCTGAATCGTCCAAGATCCCTTGTGACCTTTCCTCTTCGTCTGCCTGCGCAAGTCGAGCATACCCGGAGGCCGCCGGTCGGTGTCGAGGCATATTGTTGAAAGGTCATGAGAAGATTGTAACACATGAGACATCAGTACTCATTGATGAGTTGAGACAGTACAAGTCCAGTGCCTTTGAATTTGAATTGCATAATGGAGCACGGCCACAGCTGTACTCTGATTCTCGTGTGTACAGGCCTGCCTGACTCGCCAGCCTGCTAGTTAAATTCGGCCCAGATCAGATCTGGTTCAAAAAGGCACGAGTCATTGTTACGTAGCACTTAGCCGCCGCGAAGCTTAACAGCGCCAGCATTAGCCGCGTGAACACGGAACTTTGGCCCGGCGCCCGATTCTTCCGAGACCGAGGACGCAGTACCTAACTTAACGGCTTGTTTAACTAAGTTTAAGGTTCACAGAAATTGTGGGGCTCAGGTACTCTTCAGGGGGCATGCACTAATCTGCACCTCATTATACGTAGTACCACAGTTATTAGCTCAGATCATGTTGATTTCCGACGATAATGCCCCAGGATGACCATGGGCAGTTTCATACTCGATGGATTCATGCCGTGTTCGTTGGCGGTAGATTATACATCGACTCGGTTCAAATAGTGCCTTAACAGGGGTACGATACAATAATCGTTATGGTCAATCCTTTCCCTAATCAACCTCTGCACCACGGCCAGAATGCTGAGCCACCAACATGAAAGCAATCTACCATCCTTTACGAAAGCGTCCTGTACATAATCTACTATTTGTGATTTCCAACACTAACTGGTATGCCCAAGAACGGTCAGACTTGTTTGGTCGTACACAGAAGACCCTTGACCTATTACCTGCACCGTAACTTCGACTGCTCTGTCTAACTAAATACAACTTCCAGCAGTTAAAGTACAGAGATTGCTGATCGGGACCAAACAGATCGACATTAGTCTATCTGCACCTCTCCTCTATATATAGGCCGGACTGGCGTCAGGACAGCGGAATGCGGACTCACCTTTAGGCGCCTCGATAGGGGTAGGGAAATTAGTTCTCCAGGCCCGTTCACAACATGTCAGTTATCGGCGATAACATAGGGAGGATTTATCGATAGACAGGCTTTTTCTACTGCAGCAGAATGTCCAACGGCTCTCTCTTTTCCTTCCATCTATCTTCTGTACCATAGTTCCATGACAGATGTTCACGTACCATTAATGACGCTGGCTCCCTTGCTCTACAGGGCTTCGCCCGTCGAACACCTTCGTTCTGTCTCTGCACCTCACCCCCGAAACGACCTTGAGAAGTATAGTAATTACAGTCCCTACGAGTCTAGAGGCGCCTCCCCTCTACCCACGCCAGCAGTATCTGCTACGGAGATTTCTCGACCATCCTCCACTTCTACACAAGCTTCCAACGCGGCCTTCGTGCAACAACATCAATACAACAAGCGACCTATTCAGACTTCGCCTCATAGCACTGCCTCCTTTTCCTTACCCGGTCTTTCAGCATTGGCCTCGATTGCCTCGGCCCCATCATCACAGTTGAGGTATGTTACAGATGCTTTGTGTTGACGAGGCTCTCCGTCGCGTACTCTGCCTACCAAGTCGCGTTCTCCCTGGTCAAGCACCTTCGAAACTGACCTTATTCACGAAATGTCAGATCCTTCTCCAATCATGCGGCACCCAGTGTGAATTATGCGAGCTCCTCGCCTGCTCCCGCCTCTCTTTCTGGCAATGCTCCGGTAAGTCAGTCAGTGAAGCCTTCAAGTTGAATGCGCATTGGCGCCAAGTCTTTGAGCTTATCGGGATCCAACCTCGATCAATCTTATCCCATCTCAATATCGCTCTAGAGCAGAATTCCTACGAAATGGCTGCCACACTTGCTGACAACGGGTTTCCCTTTGTGCAGCCTGTTTGTCAAAATTGCCAGACGTCAACTACACCACTGTGGCGAAGGGATGAGACGGGCTCGGTGCTGTGCAATGCGTGCGGGCTATTCCTCAAGCTCCACGGGCGACCTCGTCCCATCAGTCTCAAGACCGACGTGATCAAGAGTCGAAATCGGGTCAAGTCGACTATGCATGCCCAGAGAAAGAAGGTAAGCCGCTTACCTCCCGCGTCCTGGTGATTTTCATTCTGATGAGGTTACTCTACAGCCCCCTTTCGACGTAAATGGTCTGTCCGCAGCTCGATCAGATGCAGGAACACCGCCCTTGGGAAACCACGCACAGCGGATATCTTCACACAAGGCTTCTTCTGGCGCTTCCGATCGATCCCATTCGCCCATCTCCCGAGCAGACACCCCGGGTACATCCCACGACCCCAACATTGCTCCCCAACACATTTTCGACGGAGTGATGCTGAACGACCACACCTTCCACTCCCCGCCCTCTCTCCCAGCCTTGCACCTAAACCACCCGTCACCCGGCTCTACCTCTTCCCTGATGGACCGCCACCTCGAACCTCCCCAAACTTACGATCAACTTCTCCACCACAACAACCAACTCAAAACACGCGTCAACGAACTAGAGCTGATCAACATCATGAGAAAAGAATCAGAGGTCCGTCTACAGAAGGAACTAGACACATTCCGCAAGAATGAGGAGGACCTAAAACGGCGCTTGAACCAGCTAGAGCAGCAGTTCAATGATCGCCACATGGATGATGCTCACCCCTCAAAGCGAACCCGTCTTTCAGCATCCGCTCACGATAACACATGAGCAGCAGCCCCTGTACCACAACAATTAAAAATAATAATGATGAAGCGAACCCTTAGCGTGGGATCGGCGGGAAACAAATGATACCCTTCTTACGGCCATATTTCCACAGCAATTTTCAGGCGGGCGGGAGGAAATTGCGGTGTCATAGGCGTCGGACTTGAACGCTTGTACCAATACATATATGTCACCATCACCTAATATTTTGCTTTATTTTTTGGGGGGGACTTTGTTCAAGCTCTAATGCCAAATGTCTCGAAGGGTCAGGAAAAAAAAAAGGTGGCAAGCAAGCCATTCGCGCGGTCATGTACTGTACCTGAGCATGCAGACAGGCGTTTCTTCCTTGGCTCTTGAGATTGGGGAGGGAAATAGACTTTTGGTCAACTATTAGTACTAGCTAATAACAAATCAAGCAATGGTTTAAGACATCGCTGAGCTTGATTTACTACACCTATCTGAACCTCTAATCGTTGTTTGCGATCTAAAGGGTAAAGACTGGGCTTTTCTCCTGAAGGTCTTCTTGTAACTAATGAATGTTTTGAGGATTCTGCTAGCGGATCTCTTTGTATCTCTATCGTGAGCTCTATGTGGTGTGCCTCTTCTCTCTCTCCTCTGGCTTAGGAAATCCCTCTGCAACGAAGAAATTCGCCAATCGTTCTGCTTTCTTCTTCTTTCTTTCCAAGCAGACAAGTGTATGGACGAATGAGGAGAAGAGTTTCCGCCTTCCCAACTTTGCTTTTCATGGTGAACCAAGTCCCAATCTCATCCATATCGTCGTCATCATCATAGGCCTCGTGTGATCAAAACCTCCCATCTTCAAAACCACCATCATCATCGCCACCACTAGCATGACCATAGCTGGCACGTTGTCGTGACACCCTTTCACTCACTCATATCCTCTCCACCACCACCACCACCACCACCACCACCAAACAACTCGCCATCCATGAAATTCTCATCATCTTCATCAAATTCCCCTTCCAGATCATCATGATAGCGCGGCAGCTCAACACGACGACCGCGACGCCTCCTGCCCCTCTTCCTGCGGCTCATTTTCAGCATCATGGCCCCTTCGTCGTCGTCATCACCGATCTCGTCGCCAATCTCAGCATTTCCATCGCCCATGAGCTCTCGATCCCACTCATCGAAACTGGCCACCTCACCGCCCGCTTCCCCTTCTCCTTCTTCCGCAATCTCCACCCCAGCAAATTCCACCCCACCATCACCCATCGCACCATCCTCCCTATGCAACCCCACCTCCACCAGATTCCTATACTTCACGCGCAGAGCCTGGCCCGTGTAGACGGCCCCGCCATCCTCCACGATCATCGTGGCAATGCGGTCCCATTTCTCGCGTCTGTTGAACGCCGTCTCGAGCTGGGACTTGAATTTCAGGAGGCGGTGGAACTACAAGGGGATGAAAAGAAAGGTCAGTGATTGGGAGTGAACAAGTAAGAATTTTGAAGGGAAGGAGAAAAGGGGGGGGAAGCGTACGTCCATATCGCCCATCCTGGCAAACTTCTCCTGCAATTTTCCGAATCTGACGCTCAGAGTGCTGAATCCCGGCTTGCGCCCCGTCATGCGCGTCCATTCGGCCGTGATCTCCTTCCATGATTTCCCTTCGCCTTTCATGCGAAACATCATCTTGTCCGCTTCGGAGGCTTCGGAGATGGCGCTCGCGACGGGGAAGTTCTGTTTGCGGTTTTTGGCGGAGGCGATGCGAGCTTTGGATTTGGATTTGGTGGCGGTGGATTTGTTGGTCCCAGTCTTCTTCCTGCGTGAGGGTGGAGTGTTGGTATATTCGTCATCTCCGTCGTCATCGTCATCGTCGTTGTTATTGTTGTCAGTGTCGGGCTCGTGCTGAAGGGATGATGCCGAGGGCGTCCCAGGAGGAGAGGGGGTAAAAGGGTCGGCATTGGTGATGAGGCGGGGCTTCTTGTTGGCTGGGCGGGTGGATAAGGACTGAGGAGGATTTGGTAACTGGGTCTCAGTATGTTCATCGTTAAATTCATGGTTGTCACGATCGACGACCTGGTGGTTGACATCCTGGCCAAGATCCTGATTGTAACCGTAGGCACTTCTCACTTTCCGTTGAGGGGGTTCAGTACCGACCACGAGCTTAGGGTTGGCTTCTAGCTCCGCATGCCCCTGCGATGAGACTACGTAGGAAGACACTGGCTTGGCCGGCTTCTTGGTCTCTTCACACTGTTTTGTACTGACTGAATGGGCTTGGATTTCATTATTGTCATAGCGACCGCTACCACCAGGACGGCTGTTCTTATGAGTGGTTCCGGCAGTCTTTTGATGATTGGTGCTGCCCTCAAGACCTGTCACCAATTTCTCACCAATAGATGCATCTTTTTCCCTTGTGTGACTTTTCTTGGAAACGGGCAAATTGTCTTCGTGGTGGCTAGTCTGCGAGGAGACACTTGATGCACGTCTCCGTCTTTTGCCCGAGCTGGATGGCACTGTGCTCTGCAAGAGTAATCAGATAAGTACCTTTGCCAGGAGGCAGCTGAGATGGCCAAGAACAAGACCTGAACTCACCTTCTGCCTTGTAACATTCGAATTAGGAGTAATCGGTCCGTTGCTGTAGCCCTTCTTGACTTTCTTTCCAGGATCTGGAACGCCAGGATCGGGAGCCAGGGCGGCTGCGATAAGCGACTTACTGTCCATTTCGGAGAACCCACCCATCTTCACTTGTGCTGACGGTTGAGTGGCTGAAAGGTGAGCTGGACGGTTATGATGATCAGCGGTAAAACTAAGGGGAGCAACGTAGGGAGCGACTTGTTGTTCGGTAGCCCTTGATGCAGAACAACCTGTGGAACCAGAGCGACTGCCAGTAGTAGCGCTTCGGAAATGTCTAGTTGTGCCTTGTGGTGTCTGTGAGGTGTCATTGTTGGTGCGGTAGTGTTCCGACACACCGTGCTGTGACCAATGCTTGTGCTTGGCAACGTCCAACGCATCCAGAAGGTTTTGCAAGCCGCCCACTCGCTTCAAATCCATTTTGCATTGTCGTGAGTTTTGCTTAGATTGCTGAACTTGATACGTATTGGCTACGCGGCTGGCTGACTTTCGTGCGAGCCGGATACTGAGTGACTGAATATTGGGTGCGCTAAGGGGTTGATCTTGGGATAACTATGGTAGGAGGATATCGGTCAAAGTGATAATAGTTCCGATGCTCCGAAAAAAGTCGCCGGGGAGTGAGATGTGGTACCCCAGGATGGCAGGGTTAGGAATCAAGCGTCTAACATATATTGCACGCCATTGCGTTTTTTCAGACTCTTGAAAACTGGAGATGGTGTTTCAGGCAAGCGTCAGGACGAGCTATGTGGTGGGATATGTGTAGTCAAGCCCTGGACTGGTTATCTCAGCTTCAAAATAGCAAGACCGTAGAGCTCTTTAAGCGAGGGTGAGTTAAACCTAGAAATGCTGTCCTCCACCGGCTTCGATATCACGTTCACCAAGTCACAGCACTGCAATGTAGATAACCGGGGGCAGGGGCTCGTTTGAACGGGTATCTTCTCCTCCAGCTTTCTTAGAATGATGGTCTTCATCTGCAAATAAGTAGAATAAGAGAGACTAAGTCATTACGTATGTATTGACTCGCTTTTTGAATCGAGCATTGCGCACAAAAGTTGTGTAGTGAGATGGAATGGGTTGAAGATGAGTAAGACGTCCAATACTCGGTATTGCTGACAGTAGTAAAACGAAGTGACGATCCAAGAGCACAGTCCTTGAAACAAATAACCATTTCCGTGATGCTACAGCTACTGATGCCGCAACAAGGAGAAGAATGCTCGAACCTGATGTTCAACATACCTCAATTTCCTGCATTGACCTTTCTGCCGTTCACTTCATCAGTAGGCCGACGAAGCACACCCTTGGTTATGGGACCGATATCTTTTTCACTTTTCACAATGCCCCTCTCCGCATCGTCGTTCCTCTTGATTGATTTCCACGACTCGACTGGATCCCACGGCTTGCCGTCGACATCTGTGTTTCCCTTTTCTGCCACCTCATCGAGCCACTTGTTCCACACAGGTGTATCTGGAGCAGCCCTGCTGGTTTTCGCCCAAGACGTCTTGATTTCTCCAACCTTGTCTTTGCTGATACGACTTGCGGCAATGATTGCTTCGTAAAGGGTGCATGTGTAGGACTCTTTGGTAATGACACGTGCCTCATCCCACTCATATCGAGTAAACAGGTCCCAGTTGTTGCGCGGGGGGAGGAGTGCTGCGACCCAGTACAGACCATTAAGCGCGATATAAGATGCTCCAAGGGCAACCTGCATCTCAAAGGTGCAGTTCCCTACCAATACAACACCGATCATGAGAAGGATCGTGCCTGTTCCGACAAGGACCTGGGCCGGGCGAGTATCCAGCACATAATCACAGTCCTCTGCTCCAACATAAAGCTCGCGGGCCACCTCCTCCGTGCAGTGAACAACCACGAAAGCGCCGCTTCTTGTCCGTATAACGATATCGCCTGGTGGTACGTCGGAATCATAGGTGCGCTCTGTTAGAAGAGGGCGCCAATACGAGGCCCCGCCCACTAGGGTAGAGGTTATGGATATGATGGCAATTGCTATGCACGCAGGGCCGTCTTGGTGAATCACGGACCACACCAAAAGTGCGAGGCTAAGCAAGGTACTGCCAACTGTCAAGAAATTGAGGAAGGAGAAGTACTTGGTAACAATCTCCTTGACCTTGTCCTCATTACCAAAGCCACTTCTGTCCTTGATCGGCTTGTGCTTGATATAGATCTCATGAATGCTATGCCTTTTGAGGTCCGATATCGGGTGTATCAAATTGGCAAAGTAGTTGAGCTCCTGGAGGTAATTGCCCGAATGGATACCAACAACGTGGGCGGGTTGCGATGGCAATCCGGCAGGCCTAGCAGGGTGGATGAGTGCCTGAGGAGCAGGTATCAATCGTGGTAGGAGACATAGCCATGAGGCGGTCAGGGGTTGGGCATGTTTAGCCATGCTTGACTCGCCAATAACGGCAAGCAGACTGACGACATCGAGCCGCCAGTGCGTCCTCGAAGTAGGGAAGTTGAGTGGCATAGTGCGAAAGCGCCAGGCGCGATAGATACACTAGTTAGTTAGAAGGATCCAAGAACACTCTAGATTAGGGTACCAGGCTTCAACATGAAATGGAGCGAGACCAAGCTTTTATCAATGGAGGAGGATCCAGGGTATGGTCATTGAGCATCATCTCCGCCGCTGTAGCAAGGCGCAGAATATGCAACAAGCTGCACAGATATAACATCGAAGGAAGGCGTCAGAGCGTCACCAAGAAGGCAGGTATCCGAGACACAAAGCTGAAATGCATATGTATAGGTCAAACGAGGCTAGCTCATGTTCTGTAAATGAGGCTGATAAGGGTAGGTGGTATCAAATAACAAGAAGACAAGGAGATGAGGTTGACTGTTGGATTCTCTAATGTGAAGGGAGGCGCAGCGTCTTGTTAGAGTTTGGGGACAAAAGGCGCCCCCACTTGTGCTGCACTATCCACCAATAGAAAGAGTAGCGCATTGGGCCTGCGACAACACAGCCCAGCCTGGGGGATTAGCACGACGATAGAGATAGACATCATCTCATGGACCACCACTAGTGGGTGCTCACACATACGGCAAACATCTCCATCTCCAGCACGGCTATATCATTGTGTTCTTTGATTACTAGCCGCTGGTGCCGATGCTAGTGTTGGAGTGAAGACTGCCTTGCAAGGCACCTGACCGCCTAATACCTCCCTTTGTCACCTGGGCAAATAAGAGGTGGTCATACGGGTATTGGGGTCTCGGACATTGTATTCACTTGTTACAAGTGACGGTGAGAAGCACGCGGCTGAGATCAGTTGAACAGTCGATATACTTGTTCACAGCGCCAGCAGCAGTATTTCTAGAACCTCCGGCCGTGTATGGGCACCTGTACCTGTGCTGCTACTGTCATTCTCAAACTGCCCTTATCAAATGTCTTGGGCTCAGCTGTGGAAAGTACTTTCGCCAGACAAACTGTCCACGCGCAGAATGAAGAAGCTCAATACAGAGACCAAACTGCAGCAGACTGTTTTCCAGGGCATCTTCTTTGAAGCCGATGATGCCAAAGCACTTCATATGATCGCGGATGCCTTTGTGCCAGAGCTTGAACGCCTTAAAAATGCTTCGACGGCCTCTGAGCCTGGTGAGCCTAGTATGGGAGATGAAGGGCAAGAGAAATCGCCATCGTGTCTTCTCTTCGGCAAGGAGTACGACGAAGTAAACCGCACGCTCGTTGGCATGCTTGCACTGAAGTGGATCTGGAATGACGACTACGAGGCTTTCACGAGTTCGCAGAACAAATTTGTCAAACTAAAACCCGAGACCTTTCAGAGGCTACGCAAGCTCTTCATAGACGGTCTTCGGAAGAAGGCGGACCTCTTTAATCTGCTCACTTCAACCATCATCAACGATCTAGGCAAGGATCCGGCGCTTGCTGAAGATGTCTCCAAGATCACGGGTCTCCCAGCTCATGCGATCAATCATGACATGGTTATCTATGAGGCCGCAAAGGCTGACATTATTCCTTGCATCAGAAGGCTTGATGACAAGCACAAAGAAGAGCTTTTCTTGGGTTTGAAATTGGGTTCTACTCTCAATGGCGGCCAGCTTGCACAGGCGGAAAATGTGCCAGGTAATCTCGAGGGCTTGCTAGAGATGAGGGGGCACAGGCATGCCTTTGACCTCAAATTTTTGGAATTGATTCTGGATGTTGCCGGGGCGGCCGGCCACCTCGATGCCCGCTGTGCCAAAATGATGATTGAGCCAGTTGCTCAGGCGTACTTGACCACCCATGAAGTGGCGCTCGATATCATAGAGGGCCGCAGCTCACTCCGCGAAGGATACGACACAGTGCTTACCCGGCGAGCCGAGATGCTGGTTGAAAAGGGTTTCCGACGCCTGTCTGTACAAGACCCGGAAGAGCGTGCTCTACTACGAATGCTTCTGATGAGTCGAACCGCGGATGCCGAGCAGGCCGAGCTCTTCTCCCAGGCCTTCGACTCTCTCCCAGTGTCAATACGACGGAAACTGGTCAACGGACTGAATGTGGATGGCTACCAGGACGGCAAAGCAATACTACCATACTACATGCCGGCCATGTTCTCCGAGGCACTGGAAAACGTCTCCCGAGAACCGCTGTCTGCCAAGATCGAAGCAATGAGCAGCCTGATGCGTTTCTTGACCCGCGTCCTCGATGGCACCAGACCCATGCCGGGCAAGGAAGGCAAAGTGGTCGAACGGAACCTCATGTTCGCGCGAGCCACCATCAAAAGCAAAGAGTTCAGAGAAGACCCGACCGTCCTTGATCAGCTCAAGATCCCGCCCACCCCTGATGTGCAACAGCTTCTCACGAATCAAAGTTGAGCAGTCGCTGTCACGAATCTCTTTGCACGAAATGGAAATTCAGGCGGCATTCTGCTTCTGCGGGCGTCATTGGTGCAGAAACCAGTCTCGGAAGATGGGTTCAGTTCTGCGGGTCCCAGACGGTGATGATCGACGTGTGCTCCTTTCTATGCATTCTTAGGTAACCGGTTTCCAAATATTACTGGATGAGCTAGAAGGTTGAGGGAGGTGGAGGCCTGGAATGGGATCTTCAGGTTGTTGAAAGAACTTTGTTTTTTTTATCAGCGCGCGGCCAGGCTTTTCATATTGCCCATAACAGATCCTCATCGAAATACAAGGTCATTCTTACTCTCTATCTACAATCCACTGACATCATTTCCGTGCACAGTTATTCTGCTGATCCGACCATATTCCACCTTTTTTCCCCTGTCAATACCAGTTGCAGAGGCAGAGATGTACGCGGCCCCAACCGAGGAACGCTTGGCAGGCTTAAAGTTACGCCCTTCCGATCCCCCCCGCTGACTCATATCAATCAATCCACTCATCCTCGTCCGTCACCATATTTCCAACTGACTTGTTTACGTATCTTCTCTTCCTCGCGTCTTTGAAAACGCCCCTTTGAAGTTTTAGATTGCCTGCCAGTTTCGTTATTCCCGGCCTTTCCAAGTCAAAAAAAGATGGGCTCCACCAGCCAAAGTACTCCTTTCGGCAAGCCGATGCGAGAGCATTTCTTATTTGATAAGAGCTTCAAGAACCTCAATCATGGTGCTGTATTCCTTTTCCTCAAACCCTATATGATTCCATCGCTGTACAATCTCCCATTGCCGCCCGATCATCTTTCATCCTCATCACCATACCCCGATCTGATAACTGTCCTGTCCTGTCCTGTCCAATCCCATTCTCTCCTCTCTTCTCCCATCTCATCCCATCCCCTCAACCCTCCCAACCCCAACCCCTTCCCTAACCAAACCCCCCAACAGGCTCCTTCGGCACCTACCCGCACGCGGTCCTGACCTCGCTCCGCCACTTCCAAGGCCTGGCCGAAGCGGCCCCGGACAAATTCATGCGCTACACCTACTCGGAGCTCCTCCTGGCGTCGTGCCGCGCCGTGTCCGCCCTCCTCGACGCGCCCCTCGACACCTGCGTCTTCGTCCAGAACGCCACGCTGGGCATCAACACCGTGCTCCGCAACCTGGTCTACGAGCCGCGCAAGGACGTGATCGTGTATTTCGACACCATCTACGGCGCGTGCGAGAAGACCATCTTCTCGATCGTGGAGACGAACCCGACCGTCACGGCGAGGAAGGTGGAGGGGTATGAGTTCCCCTGTGAGCATGAGGAGGTGGTGGCGAGATTTGTTGATGTCGTCCAGGGGTTGCAGCGGGAGGGGTTAAGGGCCAAGGTGGCCGTGTTCGATACGATCTGTGCGGTGCCCGGGGTGAGGTTCCCGTTTGAGAGGTTGACGGATGAGTGCAGACGGCTGGGGGTGCTGAGCTGTATCGATGCGGCGCACGGGATTGGACATATCCCGCTGGATCTGGGGGTGTTGGATCCGGACTTCTTGGTCTCGAATTGTCATAAGTGAGTCGTCATCTACCCTTCCTTCACTGATGACCATTCTTTCCAAGAAATCTACCTCCCTTTGTCTTCAAACACTCACTTAACCACGAACCCCTCGTCAATAGATGGCTCTTCACCCCGCGCGGCTGCGCCCTGTTCTACGTCCCGTTCCGAAACCAACACCTGATCCGGACCACCTATCCCACCTCCCACGGCTACATGCCCCCTCCAACCTCACAAGCCTCAATCCGCAACCCGCTCCCCGCCTTCGCACCCAACGCCACCCCATTCACCGCCCTCTTCCAGTTCGTCGCCACCACGGACAACGCACCCTACTACTGCGTCCCCGCGGCACGAAAGTTCAGAGGGGAGGTCTGCGGCGGAGAGGAGAACCTGATGCGGTATCTGAGGGAGAGCATGAGGAAAGGAGGCGATCGCGTGGCTGAGATCTTAGGAACGGAGGTCATGGAGAACAGTGCCGACAGGGAAGGAGGAGTCTGCGGGGCCGGATCGCTGCGAGATTGCGCCTTCGCTAACGTACGCCTCCCCTTGACCATCGCTTCCCCTCCGTTGGATTCGAGCACGGCCGAGAACGAGAACGAGAACAGGAAAGGTGTGGTCAAAGGGGCTATGGCGCAGGAAGAGGTGGGGAGAGTGGTGGATTACATGCAAGAGACGTTTGTGGATGAATTCGACACTTTCATCGCGGTATATGAGTATAAGGGGAGGTTGTGGACGAGGTTGAGTGGACAGGTGTATTTGGATTTGAGTGATTGGGAGTGGTGTGCGTGTGTATTGGAAGACGTTTGTGCGAGGGTCAGGGAAGGATGGTTTAGAGGAGAGGATGATGTGGGTGCTGGGCATCGGGGTGGGAATGCAGCGAAGCAGGGGAAGAAGGGTGGCTTCGATGGCAGTAAGGAGGTGGAGGAGGAAAATGATGGGGTAAAAGACATTGCAGAGGGGTTCAAGGGATTTCGTGTTGAAATGGAGTGAGCCAGGTCTCTGAATTAAGTGCATGGAGACAGGTTGAAGAATCTATCCCAAGGCTTAGACATGCCGGGGGCTTGGTGGTGTAGACAAACGTATATTTACCTTGTGAGAGGTGACTTAGAGGGTCAACAGCTTTGATTATGCTCGTCCGTATTGCCTGAAATGGCATTTGCATCGCTCGGTTTGGAACCTGCATGACTGTTCGATCTTTTGTGGTGGTCTTCGCATATAACCACAAGAGGGCAGGGTGCTGACCTGCGAGTTTCCCAAACACCCTCTAAATGGATGCAGAGCTCGCTTGTTCGCAAGTTTGAAGGTAGTCTGCAACTCAGACCGGGCTGATATGGTGAATGACTGCACACCTCAGTGCCATTGATGGCCATTGACCACCACTGTTGTCTTGAGTCTTTCTCGCATCCTGTGTCTTGTCATGAAGTTCCTCACCGCCCAGCACCACTACTGCCAAAAGATCGCACCCAGCCACCAAATCCTCCTCCACCACTATTGTTGTATGAGCTGGAGCGATGTGATCTACTGCGGTGCCTTCTGTCATTCGATGATGATGATGATGATGGCGGCGTTGCTCTCGATGATCTCCTTTCTCCGTGAGTATCGCGCCTCTCTAGATCCTCTGGCTGTTGACTATTGTAATAGCGTTCTCTTGCTGCACGGATATCTTGTGGTCCAGGAGACGTCTCTTCCACAGCCACTGGACTTCGTGACGTACCTGTGTTCTCTTGCCAACCACCAGGCATGGCAGCAGAGGATCTTCGTCTCGGTGGTCTATTTGGCTGGCCACTACCTCCTCGTGAGGCATGTCCATTCGCTTCTGGCGGTGTCGATATACCTTTCCGGCAATGAGGACAGGTGTCGTGCTCTTTCAACCATGCAGTAATGCAGATCTCATGGAACCAGTGTTTACATGGCAGAACGGTGACTTGGTCTCCCAGTTCGACCGAATCCATACATATCGAGCATTCAGCCTTGCCTCTATCGTCCAACATGTCCTTCTCGACTGTCTTCTTCGGTAATGAGCGAATGGCAGCTTCTGAGGCAGGACCTGGCGCGTTGCTACCCTGGTTCTGCTCCATAAGCTGTGTGATCACCCGATCTAGTGCTTCTTGCGAGAAGACTGCATCGCCTTGGGCGGCATTGGCCGGATCCATCATACGTTGTAGCATGGCAAAAGGACCAAGGTTTCCATCAGCACCACCTTCACCTCTACCACCACCACCAAGGCCTTGCAATAGTGTACTGAAAAGCCTGTTTCATCAGTCAGCACGGGCCCCACTCGACTTCAAAGAGCACTCACCCCATCAACGGACCACCAAACTGTGTATGTGGCGGTGGTTGGCCTGGAGGACCAAACCCCAAGCCGGGTGGCAGCGGTGAATCTGGCCTCCTTGTACCCCGATCCCGACCTGCTTGCTGCGGCGTCACTCCCATTATGGTCTGAACCAGGTCTTCAAAATCATGCTCTACCTCGGCCATGGCTGGATCTCCAAGTGGTCCGCCAGCGCCTCGGCTTCTACTATTTGTGATGATCATAGGACCTCCGTTAGAGTTAAACATGCTGAAGGTGAATGACGAGCTGCCATTCGGACTTCTTGATTCCCAATGATAACCTCTGGGCGGTGTCGGTGCTGTGCCAAAATCCAACTCACCAATATCGTCTTCATCTGGATCTGGGAAGTTCCGCCAGGAATTGTGTTGTTCGGGAAAGTCTGACGATCGTGAGCGCGTTAAGTGTCTATCATCGCTATCGCCAGCGGTATCTATTAGTGGTGGAGGATCGGGTGACGGCTGATTTGATACCTGCACAGAAACAAACAGTTAGAACCGACCTCTTTGTAGGGTAGGCGCATCCATGGAGGTGGACGGGAAGGATGAACTCACGATCTCAACGAATTCCACGAATTCCGACTCACAGCGCGGGCACTGAAGACCTCCTTGCTGGCGGGGCCAGGTGTTTGAGCACTCATGACATTTAACATGCTCGCCAGGTATTCGCGTAGAGTCCGCCATCATGAATCAGCAGCGGATAATATTACCGCTGCGGCCGAGAAATGTTAAGGCGCTGTCTCGGCGTTGCGGCAGAAGCGTTAGGTAGGTTGTGTAGGAAAATGAGTTAAGAATGAGGTGGCGCAATGCGATGCTGAATACAAGCGCAGGATCTCTGGTGGGTAGGCAGTGTCCCTGTTATTGCCCTACACCACAAACTGTCCTCAAGCATAAGAGTCATCCATACAGGGCTCACGTGCAATCAAATCATCGGGCAGAAAGTGTTCATAATGATGATACAGAACAATAATGTTTGTGCAGGAGCAGGTTGATCAAACAACTGTGCCATCCAACCTCGGAACAATGCGCTTCCTTCGCTTCCTTCGCTTCCTTTTGCTTCCCTTTTCATGTTGCCGGCTGACATCTGCTACCACCGCCAGATGACGATGCCACTTGACTGATAGACCCGCTACGCTAATGCTAGCTCAGTCATCACTTCTATGAACATCTGTTCCTCAAAGTCTGGAATGCGCAAGTTCTCAGAGGCATTTTTTGGTGCCTGGCTTGTGGCTGCCTAACTGCTGCTTTTATGAGCAAGGTGATAAACCCGTGAATCTTGCCAATTCCTTTCCAGATAAATACAGCCAACGGGAGCCAGTCTCTACTGCAGCAGGATCAGTCCACGCTACACCTTTGAAGGTACCAAGATCCAGAAAACCGAGGTAGAGAGCTGAGCCGAGATCAACTGGAATAGAGCCATCAGTGGATTGACAGGTGGTATTCCCAGTATCTTGTACAGCGGTGAGCAGGAGACGCCAGTTCTAGCGAGCTCAAGACCTGTATAAATAGACAGATGAATAGGGCATGAAATACTGAAAACTGCATGCCATGGAATGAACAAGACTCTCAACGCATTTTTCGGGCTACCTTCGCCTGGAGTTCTTCATCAAAAGACCACCAACAATCCCGGCTGCCACGGCTATCCCACCCACAATAGCCACACCCATAAGTCCCTCTTTCGAGACCCTGTCATCTATAAGTGTCCTCAGGCTTTCCGCTTGCAGATTGCCCGGCTCTTTGTCCAGAAGCAAATCGTTATATCTTCGAGCCTCAGCATAGTTTCCGAGCTTAAAGTTCCCCAACGCTAGGTAGTACAGGCATTCTCTTCGTCGTTCGGGTGCGGTCCGAAAGATGTCGGCGAGGAGTCGCACGCCTTCTTGCTGCTCGACACGGGCATTCGATTTGATCAACCCCTGTTCCTGAGGTCAAGGTTTGCGCCGGACGACTTCAAGTAGCGGAAGCATACCCACGCATAGTTGAACTTGGTCTGCACTCCCACAAATTCACCTTCTTTCTCGAATTGTGCTCGAAGGACTTGGAGCTCGGAGGGTTTTAATGGGCTACGGCAAGGTTTGTCAGCCACTGATCCGTGAACACGTGGGTGTTCGAGAGTCGAGAAGCAGTTAAGTAGAGAAATGCTGACCTCTCGGCATCTGCTGCATCTAAAATTCAGATCAGCGACGGGTGCGGGTGAATTAGACGATATGGAGGAGCTTACAGGGAAGGTGGTCGCCCATTTGGCAGACTATGGTCTCTGTGAATGTCGATCGATGTAAGAGAAGGAAAAACAATTCTTATGCGCTTGTCTGCCTTTATCGATATGCTAGGAGTTATTCATATAGTGCGAGTATGTGAAGATGCCTCTGAACAAGGCAGCTGGCTGTCCCATGTGGTCTGTGGCGGTGCAACCTGCGCAAAGTGGCCCAAGATCCAATGACGAATGACGTAGGGTTGGCGGCCTCCCGGTTGTCCTTCACAACCGGATCACCGCAGATAAACAATGTCGGCGCCAAATTGAATACCACAGAAGGCTCAAAGAATCACATTACAAGAGCCGCTTCACCAACCGAATCACATTATTATAATTTCGACTCCATCAAAATGCTCCTCGATGAGGATCCAGCGACTGTAAGAAAGGTCTCCTCCATAACCCGCAATCGCACAAAGTACTAATGCTCCCATCCAGCTAATCCACCACACAATCGACAACTTCAACATCCAACCCGACAAACTCGCCCTCAGTCGCATTAACGAATCCCTCTCCACAATTCAACAGTCGCGCGAATTACGCATCCGAGATGCAGAAAACGCGCTGCGTAAACTCTCCCGCAACCTCTCCACCTTATCCTCTCAACACAAAGAGACCGTATCCAGCCACGATTCCGTCAGCCATGCGGCCGAGATAAGTGAATTGGACACGAAGAAGTTTCGCATAGCGAAAGCCGCGTCAGAAGTGGAAATCGAAACCGAGAGGTTAGAAGGGGAGTTGGAGACGCTGAAGGCCAAGTTGGCGGATCTGGAAATGCAGGGTTTGGAGGGTGATGATCAGGCTAGGAGGGAGAGGGAGGCGGATGATGCGACGATGTAGGGAGTCCTTTTACATTGGCATGCGGGATATATGACTGACAAGAGCTACAGATTGCAGCTCAAGATATACAGATCGCTGGGTATTGATATTGAGCCTGACGAGGCAGGCAACTACAACAAGGCGATCATCCGGAACACAAAGAAGGGAGATGTGCATGTTGTGAACATCGATCCGAAGTTCTCGAGATTCTTTTACGCCAACTATTTCTGGCAGACCATACAGACCTAGAGGTGGGCACCAAGATTACATTCTTGCAAGCCGAGATGTGCGTGTCGAGGGTAGCGTCGGCGTTTAGGTATATACGGCGCATGGTGGAATTCACAAAGATGTATGGAAGCGACAATGAACTTCTTGGTGTTCAACAACAAACAGCTCTGAAAGCCCGCAGCATGATACCATCAGACCAGTTTCCTACATCTCTTTCCACAAAGCGGCCCAAATTTGCAATACTCCCACCACACCCACAAAGCCCCCAGTGCTCCGATCACCTTCCCGGATATACCACGTCGAACTGCCCAAACACACAGCCGCAGCCAGAGCAGCAATCAACTTATTGACCGGATCGACCAGCAATTGCGGACTCTCGGCCCACTGATAATTCATGATTGCTAGCAATCCATGATCAGCATTGAGACATCCTGGCCGCTTAGACAGAAAGACAAGCCTATACCAGTGATCAGAAAGAACACACTCCCTGCCCTCACAGAGTTTTAAGTATCAGCATTATCATCATTACGGGGAAAATCGCAGCAAGGTAGGGGTGGAGTTATTGACCTTGAAACCATCCGGCCCTCGCACAAGCAGCCACCAAGCGGGGCAGCCGCTTAAACTGTGGTTCATTCATGAATTCTCGGGCTTTTAACTTTCCACCACGATAAGTCAGTGCGGTCTATGAAATGGCTTTCCGGATGAGTAAGGAAAGCAAGGTACAGGGTGATGTGAAGACGTGACATACGGTGTGTCCAAGCGAGACTATCACCCAGACCGCACTGGTCACTTTGAGGGCGGTCGAGTTTGGCATTATAGGTCGTGTATATAGCTGATAGAGAAAGAGAGGTAGAGAGATGTGGAAGTTCTTAGATGTTGAATGTACGTTGATTAGTGGTCACAACTGGCATAAGATTGACTGGTCTATGTTTACCGAACAGAGTACGCGGGGCTTGTGCCGAGGCTACGATTGACAAAGGGTAATCCTCGCTATCTGGCTGGGGGGGCTGAACATTGACAAGCATCAAGTACGAGGCGTCAGAGTGAGGGGTTTCCGTGGCATTTGGACGATAATTATAGACAAGGTCCAAAGACCTAGGTATTTTTTAAAGAGACACGAGGAGAATGTCTTCTGTAAACTATACTGAGCCCCATGTGGAAAGCAGGGGCTTGCATTCAAAGCGATTCAAAGCCTCACTCGGGAAGATCTTAGAAACCACCTCAGAACCAGAATGCTAAGGAGATTTCCCTACTCGCAGCCTCGACATTCGCCCGTTGAAGGCCGCCAGCTGTTCTGCAAAACTCCCTGACTAGCACTGGGTCCTCTTTCTCGTCTGGAAGCTCGTCTGCTCCTCCCTCCTTCGATGCCAATCCAAGAAAATACGCTTCCCGTAACCCCCTAGAGCATACTAAGTCTATGGAGATTGTGGAGGACAGTAGGCCGGCAAGAGCAACAACTGCTCAGGCGAAACTGTGACTGAGAGTTATGTGGACGGCTCCCATGTACGAGTGACATGAAGAAAGATGCCCCGTGTCCGGAATAAGTACCTAAGCAAGTCGTCCAAAATCTGCCATCGGATGGAACAGTGTCTCTAGATCGCTTGAGAGTCTATAATTCCATCTCGGCCTGCTGAGAATGCGATCAAGTAAAAGGGTTGAGGTCCATGTTGTCAAACATAAATCTCCTCAACCTCGTCCATCACTATTGGCAACTCCCATGATCACATTCTCCAGCCTCTTCACAGTAACGCGCATTTCCCTCCGTTTCTGTTTCCGCTGCTCTTGCACCTGTCTCAGCTCCTTCTCCAAGCTTCGAATCCGCTCCTCCTGTTCCTGCTCGCTGGTGCCGATGCCCGGAAGCACCTTGACCAGATACTCGATCTGCTGTTCCTTGATAACGAGATCCCGCACAAGTTGGAGTTGGTTGGCAGCAAATGTGGTAGGAGAGTCTGGTCTCAGCGGCCGTACGAGGTCTTCTCCTGCGTCCTCGTCTTTGGGCTCTTCCTTGATGGGTGCCGAGTACGGATCTGACGTTTGAAGTGGTGGTACCAGTGAATGTCGACTAAGATTGTAGCAGACCGAGGCGTAGTATTGAGTAGCAAGCTGGTTACGGGTAAGATATGTTCCGGGCTAGTTCTTTATTGAAGCAGGGCAGACATACCTGGTCCAGGCATGTCTGGAGTTGAGTCAGGATGTCGGCCATGCTCAGCGGGCGGACAATATTGCGAACATAAGTGTAGGCCGCGTTGATGAAACGGTTACCACCTTCAGTCTTACAAATCAAAATCTCTTAGTAAAGATCTTAGATAAAAGCCGAGAAGGCCTGCTGCGGAGGTGGCCAATGCACAAAGCCATTTCAAACAGCTCCGCGCGCTAACGTAGTTAGAACTTAGAGGTCATATTCACCATGAAACCACAAGGTGCAAGCGGCGGCACTTTTCAGTGAAGACCGTCATTCTTCTCATGATGCCTGGTGACGGACTATTATTCCTATTCCGTACTTCAAAAGCCCTAGTAAGTGAAATCCTAACCTAACCCGAATTCGTGGAGATTTCTGTTACCAAAAAGTAGCAAAGATGAGAATCATCCTGTCAGTCTGGCTATCCCCCATGTCACTAAATGGGTGCACTTCCTTATTGAGAAAAGCATTCCCATGATTTAGCATCATAATTCTTGGCATGAGGAACACCAAATTCACAAATTCTACATCAGGACAACAGCTGCCGTTTTGGGCACCTTTTGTTGCGGTTTTGACGGCTCCTGTACCCCGTAGACCATGTGATGGTGGGCCATTTCATCTTGCTTTGTACTGTTGAATGCTACAAAATCCGGCCGCCTCCCGTATCTCCCCTAAACAGTAAAAATACTTACGGTCTCTTTTGCAGGTCCAAAATATCATAAAGCCTGAAAATGACTTCTTATGACTTACGCACGCTGCGTCGCTTAAGGATGACTGTCTGTACAGTATTATTATATCCAATCTAACTATTTTTTTTAAATAGTAAGTGAGACATAAAATATCTTCATAAAATTATTATGGCTTATAATTTTAGACTATTAAACCAGGGCAGATATTAATAGAACTTACATGAGGAAGAACAAGTCATAAGTAACGATGTATAAAGTGTGTCATCTGAACGATCCTTTATTACAGTTATAATGCAGGTGACAACAGCAGCTTTGGATTTTAAGTGATGAATAATAGAGAGAGCTAAAGAAGAGGTTCATTCGGGAGTGGTTCGCGGAGAATTAAGTCATGTTGAGTAGAGAATGGCTGCAGGTCCTTCACAGGGTTGGGGATCTCGAGCTCTGGAGATTAAAAGGAAACCCTTGATCCCAAGGTGTTGATAACCTGCAAAAGTCGTGGGTAACTTTAAATGATATAAAGGAAGTCATAAAAAAGAAATTGCTGAAAGGATCCCACAGCCGAAACAGCAATTCAGGCAATATGCTCCCCTGCTTTTTAGTCTCTCTTCTTTCCTTCACCCTCACGAACCCATCTCTCAGATATCAATTCCGCTGCGGCCTCACCCCTCTCCATTCTCAAATTATCATCACAAACCTCTCGGGTGGCTTGACCATATCATTGCCCGGATCCCCTTTTTCATCAATATACCTTTCCCTCCTGAGAAAGCACGTGCCACAAAGCGACTCGGCCGGCTGGTAAGATCCGAGCCAGGCTTGACCCTGGGTGCGGTAGAGATCAAGGGCAATGGAAGAAAAGGGGTCTGTTTTGTTGAGTGTTTCGAGCGCTTGTATGATTAAGCTTTCCTCATCTTCCTTGGTTTGCTCTCCTTCTCTAAGCTGTTCGGGTAGGGTGTCGTAGAAGGGGTCTTCATCTTCCGTGTCAACGTTAGCGTCGTCTCCGTCATCAAGCTGACTAGTGTGGGCACGGGAAAGCCCGAGCTGTTGTTGAATTTCCCCCGGCTTCTTATCGTCGTCCTCCTCTCGCATTGATTGATGGCTCTGCCGAATGTGGTCGATTTTGCTCACCACCTCACTCCAAGGGAAATTGGAACAAAGACAGTCGAATCGGTGTTTGGATTTGGTGCACTCGGCAAAGGCAATCCAAGAGGGCTCCACCACTCCAGCTCCCAAGAAAGTATAGTCGTCACCGCAGGCTGAACAACGAGGTTTAGCGCTGCAGCGTTGCTGGCTTTGAGGTCGCTCATCAAAAAGCTTTGAATCCAATCCTTGAAAGAATGCTGACGTCCAGCCTGCTTGTTCCAAAATTGCCTGAAGCTCCACGGCTGTGAGTTCCTGAACGCTTTCGATACTGTCTGCTAGGGTGCTTGTCCACGTGGAGAAGATAAACGGTAACTGCTTTTCCGCCAGGGCGGCGTTGGGTTGTGGACCATCCCCAACCCAATCAAAGCCTGGGCAATGAAGGATCGCGCCTGCTATGTTCAGCATCGGTAACAGTCGTCGCCCTGCGACTCGAAGTGCTGTCCAACGAGCTAGAGACACGACCTGCGACCTTCTAATCGAGCTCTTTATGCTGTTGACTCCAAGATCGTTCAGTTCTTGCAAGACCATATCCTCCTGGGTGAGCTGTATGAAAGCACGCACGGCGTGCTGAAGGCCGTGCCACAGCGTTTTGGCTCCGAATTTGACCATCTTGTCCGTCGAGAATTGCTGCAGAAACCAGCTTATGCTGTTTGAAGCAAGGGAGCTATCTTCCCTAGATTGCGCTTTTACCAGAGATCCAATCACGGTCCATCCATCGTCACTGGGCTCCGACAAATCCAGAGTATCCAAGAATAGACGAAGCATAGCAATCTTACGCTGTGCGGACAGACATTGAACTTTCTCTGCGAAGATTGTCACCGACGAGCTGGTGGAGGTGTAAATTATTAGTCACATCCTAAACGAACCCTTTCAGAAGCGCACAAAGAGACGTACAGCGTGTTTTCGGAAGGGCCTTCATAGGCTAAAGCTCTTTTGTCAGCCCGTTCCGAAATCAGGAATTCGCATAATTCGACGTTGGCCGCATCGGCTGCGAACTGGACGAGATCAGCCGACGTGTACACCACAAATGTTGTAAACTCGCATGGCTATTCTCGTATTCCAGACAAAGGCCTCAAAGGCGGCGATGCCCAAAGCAGATGTTAGGGCCACAACTTACGTGTAGAGGTGTCCAACCCTTGGAATTCGTATCCTGCACCGAGGCGACGCCTCGGGCTATCATATGCTGGACTGCTTCAATGTTGCCGGTCTTGCAAAAATCAAAGATTAAAGAGTCGTCCGGGACTGCACGGACAGGATTAAGGCAAAACTGCCATCCCTTGGGGGAGCTGCTCAAGTTTGCTTCCATGCCAGTCTTGACACCAAGCTTGCTCAGCCACCATGAAGGGTAATAAACGTACGAGGTCACCAGATGAATCCCTTTGGGTGACTTGGAGCGACCATTTGTCTTCACCGTGCTGGTTCTGCACCAAATGGTTCCGAACGGAGTCTCGGTCCCTGAGATTTGATGATAAACTTTTGGGGACCCTCCCTGCTGACGAAGTAAAGCGGACGCGGTCTCGACTTGATCAGCTATAGGAGTCTGGCTTGTAGGCTTGTCAGATGTGCTGCAATGAGGTTGAACTGGACGAGTGGTGTGGTAGCTGCGTTCTGGAGACTGTACGGAAGAAGCATGTTGCATCATGTCGTTCATCAATTTTGCAAATGAGGTGCCATCGAAAGAATCCCGAGTTGCCGCGAGCAGAGCACTTTCAATGAGATTTCGGATAGGGTCTTGAACATCAGGGACAGATGAAATCGTCTGTAGACGGTCAGCTTCAGGCTTCCAATGAGCGAGATGGACTTACTCCATCATCGGCCCTTTCCAGTACCGTGGGCTTGGCTTCAGAGTATGATGGTGGTGACTCGCTATCAGAAGTACTTTGAGATGGTGCCGATACCCGTGGTTCCCGGGTATCGAGCGCATCTCGAACATTTCCGATGGCTGTTCCTACTATATCAGCATTACCTACATAAGCTGGAGGAAGGTGACTGGCAGCACGCTATCAGCCTCTAGGTCCCACGGACTTGAGATGAACTTGACCAACCATTTGGGCGTCAAAGCGAGGATAAGCGTTGTCTTGGTTTCCAGAAGGGATTCACGGAACTCCTTGAGCTTTTGCTTCTTGCGAGCCGCTTTGAGTTTATTCCAGAATCGTACGCGCCTAAGATGTGAGGTGAAGTTTGGTTCGAACTCTTGGACGATTCCGTGGAGTATCTTGATCGCTCAGCTATTGAACGGGAGAAATGGTACAAGGTTGGCATCGCAGCTGACTTTGACTTTCCTCCCGCAGCGCTCCATTGCACTTAGAATACCACGGCCAGTATACTGCTGCGTTGCGATTTCACTCAGCAGGTCTGAGAGGCACCTCAACTCGCTAACCATATCGGCAATATCCTCAGGCGCCTCCTGAATTGTGACCCAGAAGTCGTGCAGTTTGGCGAAGCCATTAGCCAGTTGAAGTGCAATCTCAACAGCTGCAAAGCCTTTTCATGGAAAGCGTGAGCGCAGTTTATAACAGAGAGATGTTGAACGTTCTTCATACCACTTATTGCGACTTCCATTTGGTTTTAGTTCTTAGTTAGAGCAGACTCGTAGTGATTATTTATTTCCAAAGCAATATACAGGTGCATTTCAAGATGACAGAGATTTAGCCAGCCTTTCTTGACATAAGTTCTCAGAAAGTTGGCGTGTACTTACTCAAAGCCCCCTATGCCAGTCCACACCCTCATAACGACGGCGCCAAGCATCTTTCAAAACATGGTCCCATCCAGCTCGGACATAGACCAGGGTCGCTGAGGTGTTTGGTTCGAACTATCATTTGCCCTCAGCCTTTGGAGTCTGCGCCTTCTCCTCGGCGCATCCTCATTAGAATTGTGAGAAACCCTAGTGCACGTTGAAAGCGTTAGGATTTTGCTTCCTAGGATTTTGTTTTTGCCTCGTGTAGGATTCTAATTCGTGGGTAGATATCGTTAGGCAAGCCATCCTCTTGTACGAGGCGTCGCTGAGAAGTTACTTCTTGTGGTTAGCATGAGTGTGCAAGTGGTCTGAGTGGTCAGCAGCCATCATCTATATGCTGTCACACTGGCCCGCTGCAGACATTCCTACCGGTGAACTCAAACCATCAGTCAACCCATCTCAGTGGTGCCACGTAACTTACACTGCAGGTGATCGTGATCGGCGTTTTCAGTTTTTTTGTTACTACGGTACGGGGCATGATTAATGTCACTCGTACGCTAGTAATAGCTTGTAACGCCAAGGTAGAACGCAGCAAAATCGCTCGATTGGGACTAGCCTATTTATGCTTAGTATTGAGTGTGCATTCCATTAGCATCAATGACCGCCTGGCACCTTGTTGGCATTGACTCAAGTAGCTCTATGAGATAGACTGCTGGTGTAGAATGAGATAAAATTAGTAGAATACGTAGTAACGCACAGGATCAACAAATTTGCGTATAGTAGCAATAGCGACAGCGAGGTCATAGTATTAGAGGGCTGTAAAGGAGGCGTTTTGGTACCCTGTTACTAGCGCGCGGGTGACATCAATTATGCGTAGTACCGTAGTAATAGTTGTACGTAGTAAGAAGGCTCTATCCGTGACCAATGATGGGTGTCCCTATGAAGGACTCACTCACCAGGATTCTTCCCTTGTAAGCCAGGACCTACATCACACCACTCAAATCAAGATTTGACGGCGCTGTAATTGCTCGCTTCTTCCTGAAAGTAGTGTTTTACTTGGTGATTTATATGCACTAGGAGACGCCATTTGGCTCAAAGTCAGTAGTATTGCAAGAGTACGGAGTCGTGCACCAAAAGTAGTCAAACTACGCTAATACTAAGGTTCTACTAGCCTGAGATGGTGCTTAGTCGTGCAGGTACTCCGGTCTAAAGAAGGCCTAGAGAAGCCCCTGAAGCTTAAGTACTCTCTATGCTTCTCTTTAAGTGATTGCCCACTTATACTTTACTAACATTTTTTACTCTTCCTATACAAATTACTACTATACGCCCGGTATTTATTAGAATCCTATAAGAATCAATTTAATAGTATGTTAAAATCTGCTTTTTTGAATAATACTAATTTCCTAAATAGGCGACTAGATATCAGAAGCGGGTATACTATCCCTTGGCCCTGATCACTGCATTTATACGGGTATCCATGCTCTTGATCAAAGCATCAATAGCTTCTTGCCTAATGGCGTCCTAACCATCATGAATAGCTGTAAATAGACGTTGATACTTGGCCTCAGATTTGCCTATTTTGATTAAGTCAGGGTAGTTATCATTAATCTATTGCTTGAGTTACGCCTAGAGATGCTTAATTAGGTTCAGATCCAGACTATAAAGGGTCTATTTAAGTAGAGATATACCCTCTTCCTTAAACTAGGCCTTAACCTTTTTTATAATATAGATTTAGGCGTTATCTTATATAAAAATCTGGCTAGGTTTATACGTTTAAAGAATTTGCTTATAAAGAATAATAAGATAAGAGTTAGTAGTATATCTTAACTTTTTTAAATTAGGATTATACTTTAAAAGAATAATATTTAAATACTTATTTTTATAAATTATACTCTATATTATAATACTAATATTCTTATCTTTTTTAAATAGCTAAATTATATCTTTATCTTACTTTTATTATAATATATAAAAGTTCTAAACTTATTAAGTCTTAAAGCCTCTTTTAAAAGAATATTTATTACTAAATATAATCTTATATTAGTTATTTTATATCTAATTTTTTTATTCTAAATACTAAGTAAGGTATTTAATAATTACTTTAAGAGTTATCTTTTTTTAGCAAGCTAATTAGTAATGCCCTCGTCTTTAAGTATTTAATAAAGAGTACTTTTTAAAATAAGTACTCTAAGAGCAAGTTAAAAAGCTATATAAGTAATTCTTAGATTAGCTTAAATAATGTATAGAACATCTCATTTTCAAATGCGATTTAATATAGAGGGTCTACCAGAACACAGCAAGCTATTACCTTTGTTACAGAGTGGATTTCGTACAAGGGTATTAAAAACAGTGGATTTGCCGCAAGTAACTTTTTCGCTAATTTCTGCATTTGACAGCCCCACAGCCTTGTAAGCTGAAATCTGACCGCGTTGAAATGGAGATAGCTCCTTGCCATAGCTCCTGTTGATTTCTAGAGGCGCCAAAGCCCTGCGTTGATTCATGGTGGTTGGTTGAAAAGGGTAGTAAAAAACGCGTGTTGGAAAAAAAGTGCGCGTCGATCCAATACTTTTGACGTGGTACTGTACAACGGCCTTAGTGTGAGGCTCATCTAAGCAGGGCCTATAAGTTACCCGCTGCATATTTTAGGCTAGAGGGCCTAGCTTACATTTACTACCTGCTAGCCCTCACCTTAATATCAGGGTAGTTTTTACTACTTTTGGTGCACGACTCTGTCCACATCCAAGAGATGCACCACATGCATAGAGGACATCAGCCTCTGATTGGGGAGCTTTCTCAAAGCAGGCTGTCTCGGCGATAGATCGATGTTTATTTACAGATGACACCATGATCACGAAGAATGCTTTGAAAATTTCAAAACTTTTACTTTTTTCTGGAAGACTTCCAATTCTGCAAAGTAGAAATAACCCCAATTGTGCACCAAGGGGCCGTCAATTCTATTATTGTTACTTAATCTTGCACATGACATCTAGGAGCAATCCCTCCAGCTTTTGTCGGACTAATATGATAACCTTACCGTACCTAACAAGGACCAGCCTTGCGCGAGATCGATCACATCGTCCCCGTCGCGGAATTAGTGTTTCCTCTTCGATTGACTACATTCCAACTTAGGGTTCAGCGTGAAAGATTTCTGAACGGTGCTACTACCACGGGTGCGACTGTGTTCAAGTTCACAACTGGAGCTGCGTGACGATGGTTTCGGAAAATCACGACTGGAACTGCGTGACGCTGGATTGGGTAATGTGAACCCATATCCTGGTTTACTGGTAGGTCTGGAAGTCTTGTCCTCGGCGGGGTTTTCGTAGCCAGAACAGCCCCTTGATTTGCTCCGATGGCGGCTCCCTGCACTTGGAGAATCTTCGAGACTTGGGCAATCTTCCCGAAAATGGGAGCGCTTGGTGCTGGGACTGCGTCGGTCACGTCTGGAACCTCGAATGATGCCCTGAAACGTACAGAAGCCCTTGGGGCTGTCAGAGGATGGTCGGCGTCGCCGGGATGGTCGGCTTCGTTGATCTGAGTCCAAGTAAATGGGATCCTCGTCGAAAGGGAGTAGTAGAGTGACCGCGTTCGCATGCTGGCGGCCGTCCTAATTCCGTGCCAATGGGACCTTGACCCCTACGACGTCTTTCATCATAGCCCTCGCTCTCTCGCGGAAAGGTTTGATGTTGGGAGTTTCGATGTGTCGTCCTTGACATGTATCACGGGGGATCGGTCTGGTATCGGGGGCCGAGCTGTCGCCACAATGCATCAGATATGCCAAAATCGCTCAGAATGGAGCTGTTGAGCCGTCCAATCTTTTCGAGATACACGAGCGACTTTCACACAGCGTCGAATTCTTTTTATCCAATTATACCACCCAATCACTGGGTTCTATTTGTCGGCATGCGCAATGCGCAGGGAGCTGTTGCAGTGATGATTCCTTTCTTCAAGAATCCCAACAGATAAGTGACGTGGAGAAGGCACCATTACAGCGAGCGTTTTACCGATTCGAAATTCTGCGTAAGCTTTTCAACACAACCGATCATGCAGATTTCGGTGACCCAGAGGATCTAGGGCAACTAGAGGCTTTTCCTGATCTCCTCTCGCCATGGGAAGTCGAACAAGTCACCTGTGTGCACCAGGCTCTAGTCAAGATTTTGCAAGACGTCTTTGATCAGCTTGAAGACCACTTCGTTGAATCCGTACTTAGCTTGGTGTCTTCAAGAACATCCCCTCTTAATGGCATGAATAAAATAGAACTAATGTCTGCTGACGCGGTCGGCTATCCCTCTAAAAGTGCTGCTGCATTTTCTGAAAAGAAATCGATGCTGCTAACTCGCCCATGGGACCTTTGTGATTTAGAGTTCTTCATGGAACGAGCCAGGCATGGACAACATCGTCAAATCGATCTCTTTATATCTCGCGGGCTTCTATTCATAAAGCGTCTTTTATACTTGCGCCTGCAGTACCGTCAACGCTCTCATTTTCTCCCATCGTTCGACCTTCAGGCCTGGATTATGAGAAGCGCTAGAAGTGTCGTTTCCTTTGGGAGGCATCTTCAAAACTGAGAGAGACGACCGCAACGCTGGTGTCCAGCTCCAATTCAATGGAGACTCGCCAAACGACCGTAATGAGGGCTGGCTTTGGGCAGGCGGTTACAAGCCATCACCGAACTATTACGAGCCAAAGAACCGCGTGCGCAGAGACGAGGGCTACGTGTTTTGGGGCATCAACTGGTTGCATCGGCTGGGCAGGATAAACAAACCTTGGGAAGTTGAGGTAGCTGAATGGAGCTTTCCAGCTAGGTATCGAGATCGCTTGAGGAAGGCAAGTGCCGAGAAAAAGCTTGAAGGCGTGGCAATGTATCATCATTCCATGCTTCACTTGCCTGTGCATCCCATCAGGCGCAAGGATGAGCACAAGCTGATTGGAGACACTGCATACTAACTCCAGTCCTTCACTCATCGTTGCACTAGCTCGAGGTAGCATCACCTCGAAAAGTGGGAGCGAACCAGGCCTGAGTCAGGTGCTTGGCTTACTACGGTTAGTAGTGGCTCTTTCGCATCCTACTTTTCTACCAGTATCCAGGTTGAAAAGCCTATGGATTTTCCTAGCACCATCATCATCGTGGACACTGTCTCTTATCTACGAATAGTAGCAATCAACTTACCGCAAAGCTTAATTAAGTGGCTGAAATGTGCTGTAAGTTGAGATTCTCTCTCGCGAGCATCAGCATGCTAATTGGATACTATAGTTAATGTTGGACTCAACTTGCCTTCTTGATTTGATGTTGAATAACGTACCCAGCTGTCATATGCACAATTTGTAGGGCCGATATCTTCTGTTCCTACCAAATTTTCAAGCCACCAATTTCAGCTCGCCGCCATTTAACGAATGTTCATCTGAGCATGGTGACCTCTTTGAATTGTTTTTAGAACATTTTTCTTTCAATTTTATCTTCCAATTAGGACCAGCAACGTTCGAATAGTAGAGGTATGCTCCGAGATCCAAAACGCCAAGTAGCTTTGATGCATTTGAGGGTAATGCATATGACAGTTGGGTACGTTAAGGAAGTTCACCCATATAGTAACACAAGGTGTGTAATTCTCTAACATCTCTTCTAGCCTCTAGGTCGTAATTGATTGGCTCTTGGAATGACAATCGTAACCATGTAGATCCAAATTTGACAGAACAGGATATGACAAATGAGCACAGGTCATATCCTAGAAACCTTGTCAAGTCGTTCAATCATAATTCATACCTCCGTCCCTCATTTCAATATCTGTCACTTACCTTGCTCCTTTTCCTCTTCCTTCATGAATTTCTTCCTTTTCAGGAATCTCACCACATCTACATGTCCTCTCTCCTGAGCGCGCTCCAGCGGCGTGCTACCCTTCTCATCCACGACGTCGAAGTCCCCTCCTCTGTCCACAATCACTTCTATAGCACCCAAGTAGCCATTGCTCGCCGCATAGTGTATGGCTTCCCTTCCATACACATCTTTCACAGAAGTGTCACAGCCAGCGTCGAAAAGAAGGATCGCCGTCTCCTTGCGATCGGTAGGAGTGGGGTTCCACCAACGTCCTGCGAGGTAGAAGCGGCCTGTGGGCGGTGACATCAGCCGGGTGAGTGGCGTCTTACCTTCAAGATCTTGTACGTTGGGATCGGCGCCCGCTTCCAGGAGGAGCTTAACGGATTCGGTGCGGGCATTAGCGCTCGCATAGTGCAAGGCTGAGGAACCTTGGACGTCTTGGTGGTGTACGCTGGCACCGTGCTGGAGGAGAACTTCAAGGGTGGCAGGAGAGCCGACTTCAGCGTGCCAAGTCAAGGCAGGTTTGTTCCACCGCATGTCGGTAGCTTTGAGATCTGCGCCTCTTTCAAGGAGGAGCTTCACTGTTTCGGGGCTGAGACCCCAGTAACCACAGATGACGGTGACCCCTTGCGCGCTAGCTCCTTTTTCCAGCAAGATGTTTACGATCATTTCTTGAGCGGTTACTGCTGCAATTTGCAGTGGTGTGAAGCCTTTTATACAGGCATGGATGTCTGCGCCGTGTTCGAGAAGCATGCGGACAATTAAGACGCGCCGCTTGAAGATAGTATCACGAGACGGGTTCGTAGGAAGGCTGTAGATAGAGGGCTCATAGAAAGCCTCGAAATCGGGCCCCTTCGGGTCAAGGAGGCGACTCATGAAAGCATGATTTGCTTGCATGGCAGCATAATGTAGGGCGGTGAAGCCGCCTGGCTCGATCGCTTGGTGTTTCGCACCGTGTTTGAGCAATTGGCGGGTTACCACATCGTTGCCGTTGAATGCTGCGACAAGCAGCGGTGTGAGTCCAGTTTCATCCACCAACTCTGTATCTGCATTTCGTCTCAGAAGTAACTGTGTTATTGAGTCAGACTTGTTCTTCGAAGCCGCTAGATGGAGGCACGTCTGCTGCTTGTTGTCAGCTGCATTGACGTCAGCATGACTCTTCAGCAACAAGGTCACAGTCTCTAGATTCTCGACATTGACTGCACACATGAGTGGGGTCTCGCCGTCGAGGTTGCAGACGTTGACGTCAAAACCATGCCCAAGAACATTTCGTGTCAAGTACTCGTCCTGCATAGCTGCAAGGTGGAGAGCGGTTTGTCCATCCTCGTTGAAAAAATTGTGGGCGTGCTCTTTTGCAAGTATGTACCGAATTTCTGATTCGCTATCTTCTCTGGTCAAGGTTGGTGCACGGGCAAGGTCTGAGCCGGCATCATCATCAAGATCCGCATTGAAGGATGAAGCTTGTGCAACGTTCGTTGGTGAAGCCCAGGGCGACTGGGATGGAGACCCAGCAATAGTAGATGCGGTTTCGAGAAACCTTGTCAAGGCAAAATTGATATCCTTCATCCGCGGGTCTGGTCCTTGAACGTCGGCTTGATCCTCTGCCACATAATCCCCAACGTCTCCTTTCCCAGACTTTGAATCCAATTTGAGTTTTTTCAAGTAATGGATGATTTCAGTCGTGTCGTTTTTGATATGTGAGGTCCTGACTCTGGTTGGCAGTCAGCTATCACTCTGACGGGCCCAACTTGCCAACGCAGAAGAGAAGACAGGTTGATGCTTACACATTGATAACTGCCAGGGTCATGTTCAGTGTTGACTTGCCATTGCTCAGTTGTGCTCCCAGTTGTTTTACATCCTTCTGATAATAGGACCATTTCATCCCACCCCATTTTGATTTCTTAAATTCGCCCTTTTCGCTCACGAAAGGTGTGATTTTGCTGACCAGTTGTTCTGCCACACGGCGGGTATTATCTAGAGGGATATGGAGGCTCTGAATAATCTCCGATGGAAGCCCGGAATCCTTGTTCTCATCAAGGAACCGCTTGAGGGCGTCCAAAATATCACAAAGAGATTTGGAGTCGGCAGTCAGATCTTGAATCTCTCGTGGAGAGTCTCGAATTCCACAGACCAGATCATACAGCTTGTTGACAGCATGCAGTCCTATGGCGACAGCACTGATGATAGAGATAGGATCTGCCATGCCACATCAGCATTGCCATAAGTTCTTGGAGCACAAGCATTGCCATTGGATAAAGAGAGAGGCAAGGAGGAGAACTGGGCTGTAGGCGAACCTTTAGATGAGGAGTCGATCGTTGAGGCAGGGTCTGCAGCTATGGCTTTTCTCACACAGCATCGGCGCTTGGTTAAGGGGGGTAGGCACGTAAGGCAGAACATAGCTCTGAAAATCCCAGGCAATCTCCCACTTGATCTTGCGGGTTGCAACAGGAGCTATTAGTTGAAATTTTCAAAAAGGCTAAAAACCCACCAGGCGTGAGATATACTGTCATTGTTAATGTTACGTGAATGAACATCAGTGAAATTTGTGTGAGTGTGTCTGTGTTACTTGTGACGGACTCAAATTCAATCTGCTGATACTTGGTACTACCCTAGCAAATCGGGAGGACGGGGAAGGAGCCGCTGTCCCGATACGAGCTAGCAACGGGGCACTTGAACCCACTCGTGCCACTCACCAGAGTTGTTGGTTGTTTGCCACTTTCTTCCGCCTACTACGTACTAGTACGTAAGATTCGGCACTATAATTCACTTCTCGTAGAAGACAACAATGTTGACCTACATTTTTCACTACAAAAGCATGCCATGCCATTCAATATGACTGTATGTCTCTATGAAAGGAGTCATCAGCATGACGCGTTTTTGAATGAGGTACTCCGTACTGCCTCATGATTAGAATTGGCCCAGGTCAGCATCTGCTTTCGGAACTACTTACCATTACTGGTCTCGCTAAGTGCTACTCAAGTACGTACTACGTAGTAGTACTTGGACCGCCTATCTCTTGGCTTTATTAGCCTCGGAAGATGATGCTGCCTCGGTCCCCCAGACGGGCTTAGTGGGCTGCGCTACACACCGCAGGCTTGAAACGGGCTAGTCGTTGACTAAGCAGATATTGACTTAGTCATCGCCTTAGGCACATAGTACGGCTGTGAACTGAGGCAAAAATGATGTACTAGTACTTATAATAATTCTCATCCGCAACTTTACTTTCAAGCCTCCCAGATCATCAAAAGGATCCCTCAAGTTCAAGAAACGACCATTCATGCGTTTTGCATTGAGCTTTGGTATGTCTAGTTTCCCATGAAGCAGTTTGGAAGAGAGCGAGGTCAACTTTGTTTGAGAGAAGGATAGCTGAAAGATATGATCTTGTCATGTAACCCGGCACCCCTTGAGGCAGAGTAATTCGGGTATCTTCATATGAAATCTCATATGATTGTGTAAGAGGGCTGTTCTGATACAAATTTACTAGTGTTGAACTAACAAGATTTACGCTTCCCCGCACGGCAGTACGTGGTATATTACCCACCTCTTTCACGCTTCAGACATGTATCGTCGTCCCCCTTCCAGCTCCCTATGCCTTAGTAATGTCCATGGCGCAGCATGATACTGCGGTCAGAGACCTTAGACCACATAACCATCGCCCGCTGTCACTGCGTTGAGGCCGGACTAAAGCCTACTCTAGCCTGGTCAAGTAGGGAGCTCTAGAAATCGAGGATCTCGCCGCAATCCCGTGTTCTCAATTGAATTACCTTGCTGGCCTCATAACATTGGCACCCAGGCTATCAATTGAAACGAAGATATGATCCTCAAAACATCATGGGAATGGTTACCCTCAGGATTCCTCAGGTTTGTGGAAGAAATCGATAACGTACAAGGCAAAATTAAGGTTCGACGACGTTGCCCTTCCCGACATATGGCGTACGAAGTAAGGAGGTCACACGATATTGCCTGGCTCTCAACATAGAGGAAGAAGAAGAGGTTGACATACCTATTACTTTATACTCGGGAAAATGCATATAAAAAGGCAGTCAACCCCCGAGCGTCCATATTTGCGGCACAGGCAAGCTGTGCTCGACTTCTTCAAGTTGCTAGAGAGCTCGTCGATGGTCATTCCACAGCAGAAGGAAGCACAACTGATGGTTATATTAAATAATGGCTCTCCCCTACCTGCTCTTCATCTGTCAACATGCAAGCAGGTATTTAAGTAAGAATACAGGGCCGGGTCTGATCCTTTCAAGCCTTGGATTGCAGTGTCTAGGAGATTTCAGTCTCTTCAAATACATAAAGGCTATGGCCTGAGCCTCCGTGGCGAATAGTCTACGGACTGGATGAGCGAATAAGTAGCTGAACAAGGGAGGCTAAGAGGCAAAACCACCAAGTCAAAGCCCACTAATCCATCATCAGTGGGAGGCACCTGTAACATGGGAAGCAAGGGAAACGGCCGAATTAGGCATACATCTATTCAAGGTAGGTTGAATACTTTATCTGTCGCTGATTCGCGTGGAGTCTGGTATTGGTGATTGTTTTTGATGTGCTGAAGCTCTCCGACGTCCGCTAGAAGAGAACATGTAAATCCCTTCGCAAAAGTTCGTCGACATCAATTCGCGAAGAAGAACTATCGCAATAGAATAGCTGCTCACTCGCCAGAGTTTTCGCATATCTTTGTCCGAAATTCCGATAAACATTCAAAACTATTTTCATTCGGCCGCACACGCGATTCTGCACGTGCAGACTATAGTTAAGTGCACAGAAAGGGCACTTGAACACTCTAGGCTTTTCTAAGCCTGTTGTTTCTGCGACAGCCTTCTCAATAGTCTGCTATACTTTTTCGGACCCTACATTGCGAGTAGAATGGATGCGAGTTGAAGAGGTGAGTCTTTGGCAACATATTCTGTCTGGAATCTAAGTCTAACTCCCAGCAACTTGCAAGCAGAAGTTGCCCATCCACTAAACGTGCTTCATTTGTTCGGGAAATTCAATTCCGATCGCTCATGCTTGAACTTAAGGAAGATAGAGGCAGGCCGTATCGCTGTCCTCGCTCGTGGGCCCGAAAAATGAGGTCGATAACCTCACGTGATATAAGGCACTGCTGACCTCCCTTCAGGAGCCAGGCGCGTGATTTTGATCTTTCCTCAAACGAGTATGAGTGCTTAAGTTGCCAGTTGAACAGAAAACCGCAAGATCGGCATATTAAATGATCAGGATAGTCACGTTCAAGGTATCGTAAGAATCACAGCTTCACACTGATATCGTTGAGCGAGTCATCAAGATAGGAATCGAGGAGGACACGAAGTTGGGTGCAGGAGAGACTGAGCAGGGCTTGGAACTCCTTATCCAGGAAAGTGCAACTGCGAGGAGCAGCTCATTTGGTAAGTTGAGAAACGGGTTGCCGTAGTCTTGTAGGTCTACTGTCTCTTTGGCTGGCTCCTCTACTAGCTCCTTTGCTGGCTCCTTTGCTGGCTCCTTTGCTGGCTCTTTTGCTTTGAAGTCCACTCTTCCAACGGAACGCGAGAGTCTGAAAACCCTCCAATCCCGTCCAGCTTCAGGAGCACAAGTGCAGTCATCCCCCGCCCAGACACATCATCAGCTTAATTCTCTGCAGTGTCCGTCAACAATCAGCAAGACCAGGGGAATCCGCACCCGTTCTACAGCAGCGAGATGCGCCTCTTCGTGGAAATTCATACGGCGTTTGAATGGATCTAGCAGTTTCGCACGCAACACCCCAGTCTGGTGCTAATTGATACCTCGTGACATTGGTCGGCTGCGGTATATTTGCTGGTTCGAAGGCCTGTAAGCATAGATAGAAAGATTGACTGACGGGAGGGAATCATGATTTAGTCCAGGCTTCTAGGACCATTAGGGAATTGTGTTGCTATACAAGCAAACGGTAATGATGCAGAGCCCTGTATCCTACGTTAGGGGCGAGGGCTTGGCCGGATCCAATTTGGGCACCCCGTGCACCCTGACGCAGAATATGGAGTAACTACTTATTACCAGGGTGGAGGGGGGGGTTATAAGTATTGTTAGTTCAGCGCTAGTATCTTTACCCCCCCGTAGTACTACTGTAACTGTATTTCCTTCCCCTTCCCCCACATGCTTGTTATCCATGCCACTGGCTGGCTCTTCGAGATGGCCGAAATCCATTTACACCGTGTAAAGGGCATGACAGCCGGGCGACCGTGATGGTAGGTGGCTCTCACAGAGTCACGCAATAAGAGGTCAAACCCAGCTCGATTGTATGTATTCCGGCGCGGCTGGCTGCAAGTCAAAATTCCCGCAGCTGCAAGGAAGCGGAAAAACACAATGGATGCCCCATCCCACCGACCGGAGCGGCTACGTTCATCCTCAAGACAGAATCAACGTCCTCCTTCGTCCGGATCAGACACATCCACGGGCTCCAATCTCACTTCTATATCGATGCCTAAACGTCCTGCCCATGCCGCTAACCAGGCGAACCTACCGTCCTACATTGCCTCGAATATAGCAACCGCGAACAGTAGCCAAACGTCTCTTCCCAACTATTCCCGACCGGCTACACAGTTCATGCCTCATAGTGACCAGCCAACAAGGAAAGGATCTCCACTTGGATCACCCTTTGGTCACTCGAGGCACCAAAGACAGCACTCTCAAGGATATTTCGAGCCATCCATGCCCTCAACTTCTCTTGCCGATCATTCGAGCATGGCGAGCCTTTCAGCTTCACAGATCGCTGCTCAAGCAGCCATGCAGCATCTTTCGATGTCGTCGCATTCAAGGAAACGTTCGCAGACAGCACCAATCCCTCCAGAAATGACTCCACAAGAAGGCCGCAAAGTTAGCAAAAGCACACCGCCACCATCGAATAATGGCTCCGATGCAGCGTTAACGCATGCACGAGCTACTGAACCGCAGTATAAAAATGGGCTTATTGGAAACACAGCGGCTGCCACTGCAGCAAACGCCGCCTTTCCAAGAAGCCTGATGTCAGCAGATGGGCCAGAGAAGGAACAGAAGAAGGGTTCGAAGATGAGAATGTTCAAGCCGAAGCACATTGGCATCACCAGAGACAAGGACAAGGAGGCTAAGGATAGACCGCTTGCCTCGCCGAATAAACTACCCATTGGCTCAAGTGCACTATCAAGGGTTGTCAATGCTTCAACCACCAGCCTTGCTGATTCGCTCTCTTCTAGCCACAGCATGTACTCTCTGAACAACGCATCGTCCTCAACAATGATCCAAGTGCCTTCGTCAGACCGTCAAACAAGCTACGAGAAGGAGAAACCACACAAGCATACAGGTCTGCGGCAGAAGCTGAAATTGAAGGACAAAGATGACCACCACAATCTTCCCCTAAGTTCCGTGAATAGTAATTCCAAACCGTTGGATATCGACAATCCTTCGTCGCTCTATTCCTTCGAGCCATCCTCGCCGGGCTTGAGTTCGAACTTCTCCAAGTCAGTCTCTGGACTTGATCTCCGCCATGCAGGCCGTGCACTTCGCGAAAAGAAGCGGGAAGCCAAGGCCCTGGCCAGTAATTCGACGCTTGAAGCGACCAAGTCGAGGGAAAGCGAAGGCTCTGAGTGGGCTCTCTCCAACCTGCCCACTCTTAGTACGTCACTACCGCAGCATTCGACTCTAGGCACTTCTGGGGCAATGACACCTGTCGCTGTTGATCCAGCATTGCGGGACATACTCGGAACTTTTGGGCTCAACAACATGACCCCAGATGACGCCTGGGATTTTCTGAAGGCCAAGATATTGGTAGTTTTTGAGGGCGAAGACGTTAGGGTGGCTGTCGAGGATCTCAACAAGCTCGTTACCATATATATACAAAGATGTGTTCAGCGACATCAACCTACCACCATTACCGAAGATTTGGATGATCTCTTTCAGACTGGTTTTCTCTCTCTTAACCACACCATTCGATCGGTGCCAGACGATCGACTCGTGCCGCATCTTGTATCTTTGTGGCTGATAGTCTTTCAGACGGTCTTGCCATTCATGCAAGCAGTGTTCTTTCCTCTTGATCAGGAATTCAAGGGCCGTGGCACCGTGCTTACCACACGAGCTGCAGCCGCTGACTTTTGGGGAGCATTGACAACCTCAGAGTCATCACATCTCTCTACATCTCCTCCCAGCGGAGCGAATGGTCTGGTAGTAGCTGGAGATGAGTTGGAAGTACGTCGTATGCTGCTTATCTCGTTTCGGGATACAGTGATATTACCCAGATATGAGGTGCTGAAGGCCACGTTCTCTCGACTATCCTTAGAGTCTATCAATGCTAGCCTCTCCAACACCTCTTCCTTTGACAACAGCGCCAACACCAACGAACGTCCATCAACGGCCCAATCCCTCGATCCTAACCTTTCATCCTTCAATTCTCAGTCTTCGACGCTGCTTGGCAGCTCTTCTGCTGGCCGCTCACGTGCCACCTCCAATACCTCAAATCCTGCACAAGATATCGCGTTCCAGTCGCTGGCATCACCACCTGCCGCAAGACCGACTGACAGTTCGTCATCACATGTCACGGAAACGGTAGGGCGGATGCTGCAGTGTCTTTCTGTGCTTGCAAGTGTACAGTCCAACGATGAGGCGCAGGCAAAGATGGAAGAACTGAGCAAGGAGCTGAAGCTGAACTGGCTGGGTCGTGGAAGGACAGGTCGCAACCGTCGTGGTTTCGTAGGGACACGAGTGAGAAATCCAAGGACGAGCTCGTATAGACGAGATGCAGAAGGTAGTCCGACACCGACGCCAACCAGGGCATCGACCATTGATATGGATGAAAGGGGTGGCCTCAGCATGCCTGGGGCTTTTGGCGGAGGTCTCGGTAGGAGTATGCTTTGATTTACTGATCTGGGCTGGGTTCACACCGGGAAAATGCTGCATCTACGAATCATGGGGGATTTGGAGTAACCAAATGCGGACGGCACGATACCCAAGATAGAGCGGTTTCGCTGGCTGGTTGTTCAGATAGGTCTGCTACTACTTAGTAGCACTGCCAGCAGAACAGAAATGCCAAGAGCATAACGAGAAGCAACTTGCGATGCTCAAATGTAAGGCCAGCTCGTAAAGATCGTATATTTCGACAGCTCTCTTTTACTATAGCACAGATCTTAACGAGATGTTGTAGATATGGTGCCTGGGAAGAGCTATAAGACTGTCGATGTGAACCGAGCACAGTGAAAGCAACAACAGCCATCATTAGAGCACAGCACAACTCCAGCTTCTTAAAACTCATAGATCCTCCATCTCCACTGCACAGCATGCCTTACATGACCTCTCCAATCGACGGCACCCAGCTCTTTTACCGGGACTATACGCCCGCAAAGGTCCCTCAGCCCTTTTACGCCACCGAAGCAGCGCTCCAATCCGCGCTGCAACTCACCCTGGTCTTCATCCATGGCTGGCCAATGAGCTCGCGGATGTACGATCATCTGATGCTGCCTCTGTGCGAGACTCACCGCATCCGCTGCATTGGGGTCGACCGCCGCGGATTCGGGAAGAGTGACTGGAGTGGTCCGAATGCGAAACCGGCCGAGGTCACATATGAAACATTTGCGGAAGATACAATCCATATCATCGAGCGCCTGAAGTTGGAGGACTTTGTGTTCGTGGCGGCTAGTATGGGTTGCGGAGAGACGCTTCTGGCGTGGGAGGGGAGTGAGTTGGTGAAGAGGCATTGTAAGGTCAGTTGGGTCTTGTGCAGCTCTACCTCTCGGCAACATCCATCTTTTCTTAACTGATACTTCTCCGCCAGGGTTTCATCTGGATCGGACCTGCTCTACCATACCCGCTGCAGACGGCAGAGAATCCGTCGGCGCCCTCGCGTGAGCTTTGGGATTCAATCCTCAGCGGCCTCCGCACCGCTCGAGCCACGTTTACGCGAGTATCCTTGCCCAACGTGTTTGGAGCCCTCGCTGGGACAGAAATCGATGCTCCCACTCTAGCGCGTTTTGAGAGAATCGTCGACGACGCGGACTCACTGGCAATGGAAAGATGCGTGCAGATCATCGCGTCTTGCGATTTCACAGAGAAATTGAAGGCATTGGCGGGGACCTCATTGCTGGTGCTTCAAGGAGATTCAGACCAAGGCATGCCGTATGAGGCTGGTACGAAGTGGATTGAGGCTTTGGTGCCCAACACGCAAGTCAGCTTGTATGAGAAGGCTGGACATGGGCTTTATCTGACACACGCTGAACGGGTGATTGAGGAGATCCTAGGCTTCGTCAGGTGGAGAGGTCTTTGACAGGCCGCCCCGGTCAGCCACAATGACCGACGACCGAGTCCAGCTGCCAGTGTGGACTAATCGGGTTACTCTGTTCCGAAGTTCTCTGATTGGACCAATCAAGCAAGTCTTGGGGAAGCATAACGTGAGAGCCATTCGGGACCGCCCCCTTGGCAACGCCCCCTCTTGGCAACGCCCCCTTGGCGCAGCTTCTCATTGGTCAGCTCAAATAGGAACTACAAAGTGCTCAATTCCATTGTGTTCGCCGTTGGGCGTAGGCATCGTGAAAACGACAATGTTGTTCTTTCTATCTTCGAGAAAACTCCATAGTAATAGGAGATTTCGCCTAGGAATTACACTTTGGAATGGCCGATCGATTTCGACATTCGACACATTACAAACAGCTACTAAAACAACAGCTTTTTTTAGCTGACCACATAGCGCTTCCGCCGCCCTCAGTTATTCCTTCTTTTCTTAGGCCCAAGAAGATCCAGTGCCTCTTCATATCTCTGCCCGTTACGCTTTCGTTTTGGCCGGCTTGGGCTCTGCGGCGTTGTCAGGGGTGAAGGAGGAGAAAGTGGAGGAGCAGGAGGAGGAGGAGGGCCCGAAGCGTTTGCAGCTGATAGTGACGAAGGCGAAGATATCTCATTGATCTGAGTAGGATATCTAGCTGTTCCTGCTTCTGCTTGTGCCGCCGCTTCTGTTGGCGCCGCTCCTGTTGCCCCTGCTCCTGTTAGTGCTGCCTCCTCCTAAGGTGCTGCTGATGGCTAAGGAAGACCTATATTAAATATCAGAGGAAGAAGAAGAACAGGATCTAATAAAAAGGAAGCTGTCTGTATTAATATAGCATATATTATTCCTTTAAGCTCAGAAATTATAGATTATAAAGAAGGGGCCCTGCTACTTATACTACAGAGGTTCTTTATCTCTATCCTCCTTATTTCGTCTTCTCTCTTAGCAGCTATATTATTATATCACTTAGTCTAAGCTCTATAATTAGCTATTATTTAAATTAGTTAGCTAGGCTTCTAGTTATTTGTTTATTATGCCTATTACTATATTTAAAGAATAGCATTATTTTTTATAGCTTTATTTTAAGCTTTTTAAGCCTTTATTTATTAAGAAATAATAATCTTATTACTAGTAAATCTATAAGTATTCTTTATATTATTTCTTTTTTAATAAGCCTTTTTTAGAACAATATTAAGTATTTAAATAAGTATCTAATCTTCTTACTTATATTATTAACCTATTTAATTAATCTTATTAAGTCTAGAAAGGAGGTGTTTATTATATTTAGCTCTTTTATAATTATAAAGTTAGTTATAATATTTTAAAACGTAATAAATAATTAAATTAATATCTAGACGTTATAAAGAACTTATATTAATAGGAATATCTTTATAAGATAGTTTCTATTTTACTTATTAGACTAAGGGGCCTTTAAGCTATTATTAAAGATGAAGAAGAAAGCATAAAATAAGAATAGCCTATTTATAAGCCTATTAAAGATAATATTAGTAAGGTAAGTTATAATAGTTTAGTATATTATAATAATTATATTTATTAAAATCTTAGTTAGCTATTAGCTTTTAGATTATTTTTATTTATTCCTTTTCGATCTTTTAGATAACTACTAAGCTTACTATCTTTATAAGTTATTAAAAGACGCTTATATTAAGTATAATAGAGTAATTAGTAAGATTATTCTACTTATTAATATATAAAGATAAGTAGATCTTAATAACTTTTGTATAGATCTTTTAAATAGATGTTTCTAAAGAGTAATAATCTTATATTATTATTAGAAGAGCTATAGTTGGGCCTAATATATAAGACGAAGCGTTAAGAAAAGGAAACGAAAGTGAGAACACAACACTCTATATACATGTCCGTGCCCCTTATCTCGCTGAGGCCAGGTATAGACAATTGTGGGTACCTGTCGTCAGTGATGGCTAGAATAGCAGCAGGGAGCTGGGTCTGAGATGAGCTCTGTGAGCCATGGTCAGTGCCACAGGGAATATGGTCCTTGGCGTAGGTCGCGGGAGGATTTGTAACATCACCCCCTCTTTATGCGCGAGCTCCTGCGAGCGTAGGTCCTTATGGTGCTGTGGTGGGGCACTTGTGAATCTTCTCGAGCATTTCTGGGTGACTATAGACATCTGTAGGCATTCATGACTAGCTGTAGTTTCTTTGACTTGCTGCAGGCGCCCCCTTAAGAGGTCGGGTATTCAGGGCAACGTGGGGCATAGCTATGGCGTTCGTAGAATTCTTGTACGATCTCAGGGGCGTAAAGGAGGTGAGCTGCGGGCTCCTAAGTCGTTTCGTTATAGCTGATCTATTTGACTCTGAACTAGAACAGTCTTCTTCTGAGAGCTCTTCTTGCTTCTAGAATAGTTTTGACTTCCTATTCTGTTTTATTAGATATATTATTACTTATTATAAGTCTTAAGGGAACGTCTGTATAACATAGTCTTAATAGGGTAATATAGAAAATAGGGAATATTCTTAAGGATAAGGGCAGGGCTAATTTGCAGGCTATAGATTTTATAGTTTATTTAATTTTAAATAAGCTAATTTATTTATTATTAAGTTTTTTCTCTTCTTGCTTCTAGAATGGTTTCAACTTCCTATTCTATTTCATTAGATATGTCATTACCCACTATGAGTCTCAGGGGAATGTCTGTATAGCATGGTCTTAACAGGGCAACATGGAAAATGAGGAATATTCTTAGGGACGAGGGCAAGGCTAATTCGTAGGCTGTAAATTCTATAGTTTATTTAATCTTAAATAGGCTAATTTATTTATTATTGAGTTTCTTACATAGTTATTATATACAGATGTTTCTAACGTTCAGCTATACTTTATCTCCTTTATAATATACTAGGGCAGGGTGTCGTCTCTAGTTTCTGTTTGCTACATCTATAGTTTTTGCTTAGCTCTAAACTAGTTCTGTATAGTAATAATTTAAGAGTTCTTTTATAAATGTCAAGATATCTTCTGTACAAAGGTTAAGGAGGGTCTTAGCTTAATCAAAGCTTATCCTAGGATTAAAGCCTTTATTAGCAAAGAATAAGGACATGCCTATAGATTCTGACTTATAGTTATTTATAGTGAATTTAGTTAATATAATCTATTCAGCTTAGTCATCCTATATATAGTTAATATAGCTTTATAAGTAAGTCTCTATTGCTTAATTGACTTATTCTGACTATCTGTCTATTTCTAGGTAATGTGTAGTAGATAGTTTCGCTTTAATACCTAGCCTTTTATATAGGCTATTCTAGAATTTACTGACAAACTATAAATCTTTATTAGACATTATTAACTCAGAGAGGCTATAGCTATAAATAACAAAGTAAATAAATATCCTGACTAGATGTTCTATTTTTATGCCGGAGCACGGCGCTAGGTGTCTCTCCTTAGTCAATTGGTTCGTCAAGACCCAAATGCTTATAGCGCCAGGGAAAATGCAGTTGGATTCAGAGAGGTCTGTGACGAAATCTATAGCCAGGTGTTGCCACCGTTTCTTGGGCGGCTCTAGTGCCTGCAGTTGACCTTGGCGCTGGCAAGACGGTTTTGTGCGACAGCATATAGGACCTTTGGCCCCCTGTGCCTTTAGTGAGTCTATCATCTTTGGCCAATAGAATTATTGTTGCAGGATCTCGTAGGTCTTTGCGGGGCCTGGGTGACTAGTCATCGGCTGTTTATAGCATTTGTTAATACAGCGGAGTCTTAGTTCTTCGTTTTCAGGAATCCATAGGCGTTGTTAGTAGTATAGTTTGTTGTTCTCTACTGAATAGTCGGCTAACGTGACTATAAAAGACCTTCTGACCCCAGACAGGACTTGTTAGCGAGTTACTCGACAAGGATCTTCTCAGGCAAGATTCTGGTATGCGGCAGTGATATCTTCTTCTAAGATGGTTCAAGGCTGTGGGTTTATTATGCGCAGGGCTGTAATATTATCTGTGATTACGTTAGGGCTTTCTCCTAACTCAGGTAATCTCTTATAGCGGCGTAAGACTCTTGTAGGTCTAATTAGACAGATAGGAATAGGTTCTAATATCTAGGGGTTTAGATTCTTTGGTTTCAGGACTACTTGCTTAAGGAACTTCTTTTTATTATTATTAGTGTTAATGGCTTTATCTTATAATCTGCAGGATAATCTATCTGTGTGGCACTGTGACCTAGGGCGGTACTTAATTACAAAGTCGAAACAAGAGAGAAACTCGCTCTAACAGGCTTGTCAGCAGGATAGTTGTTTAGACAACATGAAGTATTCGAGGTTTCTGTGATCTATTACAACTTGTACAGGTTCTTGGGACCCTTCTAGCTCTAGGCGCCATTCTTCAAAAGCACGGACTATAGCCATTAATTCCTTGTTATAAATCTTGTAGTTGCTCTTAGCTGGGGCGTGTCGCTTTGAGAAGTAGGCCACAGGTTACAGGATCCCCTTATTATTAGGCTGAAACAGGACTCCTCTGTACGCGTTGTCTGAGGCGTCAGTCTCTACAGTGCAGGGTAAGTCAGGGTCGAAGTACTGTAGGACTAAGGAGCTTATAAACATGTCTTTTAGCGTCTGAAACGCTTTTCTAGCTTCCTCTCTCTAGTTGAAAGGGACGTCTTTTCAGGTAAGCTTGGTCAGGGGTAAGGTTATCTTTGAGAATCCTTTAATAAATTGACGATAGAAATTCGCAAATCCTATAAAACTTTGTATGTCTTTCACATTATTAAGCTTCTCTTAATCTCGAATCGCAACTATCTTCTCTAGGTTCATGTGTATTTGTCTGGGTTTGCCATCTTCTGAACGGCTCTAGATGATTATTCTTAAGTATTTTGTCTTGTGAACTTTGAATTTGTATTTTCCTATATTGAGTTGTAGTCTAGTGACAGCTAATCTGCCTAGTACTGTCTTTACGTGTTGGTAGTGCTCTTTTAGCAAGTTGCTAAAGATTAGGATGTTATTAAGATACGCTGAGACGAATTAGTCTAGGATATCCTTTCTTAGGGCATTATTAAC